GAGCAAGGTAGCTAACTCCTCTAGGACTCAATGGACTATATGTAAATGGGGATTACAATAGTATTTGCCTCCTAGGGTGTTCATAAGAATAGATTAGATAATTCATATAAGGCATTTATCTCAGTAATTCACGAAATATTAGCAGTTGTCAATACTGCCAATTTTTGAGTTATATTTCAGAAAGTAAACTCCTTGATTGGGATACCAAATTAACTCACCTAAATTTTACTCAAAAGGAAAAAATATAATTGAGTTTCTAATTGCTGTAAATAGGAAACAGTATATTCTGGAAATAATGGATGTTTTGAGATGTATATTTTTTTGAAATTATAGGAAGAATAATACCTATTTGCTTTTAGGGAGAATGGAAATTGCAGATACTTGAAATAAATTCATAAGTGAAAAGAAACATGCATTCTTATGAACACTAAAAAAGACTCAACCCACAGAGCATCAGGTACTCTCCTAGGGGGGGCTTTATTTACTGTGTGCCACATGTGAAGATTAAAGAAAGAAGAAGTTGCTAAAAAACAAACAAACAAACACTCAAAATTTAAAAATATAATCACATATCAGATGTGAGCTAGCAATAACTGAAAAATGTTAAAAAGAACAGCAATCTAAAGGTTGAGATATGCATTTCCTGAAATATCAGTACCTTGTCACCAGTTAGCCCCTGCTTCTCTGAGTCCTGGTTCTCAGGGACATGTACAAAGTGTGGTGTTCAGCATGACAATTCAATCCTGGCTTTGCCCAGTGGTTTGCAATGAGGCTTATGCAAATTATTTAAATTCTCTTTGTCTCCTCCAAATTTTATGATCCTTTCCATTTTGGGGGCAAACTAATACACCAATTTGATGATACCTGTTTCATTTCTTATAGGCCCAGAGAATAAAATTTTTCCTCTCTGATGCCTGATGAGGAAAACTTACTTGTTTAGTGAGATGATACTCTCCATCCACAAAATTTCTCGTAACTACAAAGGAATTTATTTTCAAAATCTGCACTGTAGCCTTTTATAGTATAGTTATGGGATACAGGAAAGGGCTGGTGTGTGTGTGTGTATGTGTGTGTATATATATATATATATATATATATACACATATATATCTTATTATTCCTAGGGATGTTTATATTATTCCTTGGCCTGTCCACACCTTTTTCTAAACATGCCTCAGGAGACAGCATAGAGGTCCACTTCCAAAAAATAAAGACACAATGAAGCCAAGCCTAACTGAAGCACCTCTAAAGCAGCTTATTTTTCTTATTTTAGGGTGGGGGTGGTCCCTCGAGAGAAACCTCACTGATCAGAGGCAGTTGGATTAAAACTCAGGAATATTAAACCCATAGTCAGGAAAAAACACCTAGAAGGGGAAAAGGAAAAGTGGTACACGCAACTCCATAGTCTTTCCGTCATGAAAATCTGATTTCTTAGAAATGACTAAACCTGGTATAGGAACTCCCTAGGGTTTCATTTCTCTGAGTCTTTAGACAAAGCAGAAAGATATTTTGAATACTGAGGGAGAAAAAGAGGGAGGGAAGAAGGAAAGATGAGAGAGGGAGGGAGGAAGAGTAAGAGAGAGAGAAGAGTCAGAGTAAAAAAATTTCCAAATGATCAAGGAAAGACCATTCCTCAGAAATGAAAATGTTAAACTTTGTTTCTTTAACAGAAGATATACTATACTTCTTTTCTCATCCATCCTAGAGGTAGCCTTAGGAAGGATCATGTATTTATTCTTTACATGGATGAAATTATTATTAAATAATATTTTTAACCCTCAAGTCCATGCCCTCACTTCACAGTAAAGATGTAAGTTCATTCTTTTTGATCCTTTGGACAGAAAATCAATACCTTCCTTGCCCCTAATATTATATAAGGGAAAACAATTTTCTTAAAGAGTAAATAACTTGGTTGATTTTTTAGTTCTTTTCTTTGACCTTCTTACTACTTCTCATTTCAGCTAAAGAAATATTAATCATATAAAAGGACAGTCTATTTAAAAATTATGCTGTTTACATGTATATTAATATAAATAAGTCTGAGCAGGAATAGATAGGCATATAACAGAGACATTTATGTATAATAGACACATTCATCCATTGGACATTCATTGAGTTTATTTCAACTGATGTCTATGTGCTAAACAGACAAAAATCTTTTCCAAGAAGGAAGCTTACTCTTTACTGGGGTAAACCAAAGAAATAGTATATAGTATATCTGATGGTAATAAGAGATTGGAGAAAAACAAAGCTACTGTAATGGTTGGCCCACATATGCACATGTATCTCTGGGATCAGAAACATCCACCTGGTTAATGTTTTTTGACTACACAGAACTTTAAAAAGTCTTCAGGTTTTGGAGAAGATGTTTAAACTCTTGTTCTGTTATGCTCTGCTAACCTGAGACACTCTTAAAGTCAATGCCTTGAGAAATCAGCAATTTCCAGGAAAATTTAGAACAACACACATAGGGCCAGATCCCTCAGATCTGTTTATGACTTAGCCTCTCACACGTCAGTGGTTAGAGACACGGTGGAGCTAGAGAGGAATTTAGCTGAGACTGCCCTCTGCTGACACAAAGATTGCTCAAACGTCAGTAGATTAAAAAAAAATCAATCTGTAAGGTTTAACTTTAGATAGTCTTCTGTGCCTTTGTAAAAATTATGTAGTTTAGGTAATATTAATTTTTTATAATTTCATTCTTCATTCATTTACTCATTAAATGTATATTCCGCCCTATGTGCCAGGTACTATTTTCAGTACTGGGAATACACTGCTGAACAACTTGGTAATGGAGTGTACATATAAGGGGGAGGAGATAGAGAAAAAGAAACAACAAAAACCCTGAAAAAAATGCTTAATAATCTCAGTTTGAAAAATCATATCCATTGGGGTAATGGGCTAGAGGTGAATGCATGGACCTCTCCTGAGGATGTGCCATTTAAACTGAAAGCTAAGCCCTGGCTGGTTTGGTTCAGCTGTTAGAGAATCGGCCTATAGTCCACAGGGACCTGGGTTTGGTTCCCACTAAGGGTGGGTACCTCAGTTGCAGTTTGTCCCAGGCCCTGGTTGGTCCTGCGAGTGACAGCCACCTTTCTCATCGATTTTTTTTTTCTCCCTCTCTCTCCCTCACACTCTATCTGAACAAAAAATGGAAAAATGTCCTTGGGTGAGGATAAAAAAATATATAAAATAAAATAAATAAACTGAAAGCTGAATACCAGGCTGTATCCTACGAATAAATCCATCTGAGCATTAATTCATGCTGGGGTAGGGGCAGAGTTTACACAAAGGCACTGAGACGGGGACACACGTGTTTGTTTCACGGATAAACTGAGGTCACTGTGAGTAGAGCATTTGCTTGAGGGCGGAATAATGCAGAAAGGGATGAAGGAGCCAGGCAGCATCTAGATGATAAAAATTCTCACAGAATTTTTAAGTGCAATAAAACTATTGGAAAAGTTTAAGTCTGGAAGTACCACAGTCAAATTTCCATTAAAAAAAGAGAGAGACATCTGAGTCTTTATGAAAAGTGATTTGGCTTTTATTTGAATTGTAATACAAACCATTGAAAGTTTTTTTATGAAGATGATTATTAAGAGAAATTAAGATTCACATTTTAAAATATGCTCCATGATTTTTACTTAATTTTCCTACTAGATTGTAAGCTCCAAAGGGTGGTGATGGTATTTTCTGTTTCTATACATCTTCACCATGTATCATTCCCTATTTGGAAATAATGTTTGGTACAAATCTCTGTACCTAGAATATATTGAGGAGTTTTCTAAAGAGGAAATGAATTTATGTTTCTTTAATCTTTCTGTTTTAGAAACTGGCTTGAGTTCCCACCAAAATAAAACTCACAAGTGATGACGAGATCAGTTTGTTTGAGAGTTTCTCTATTCTTTCATTTTAATCACAATGCTAGATGTTACCTGCGCCTGATCAGGGGGTCTTCCTATATATGACAAGGGTTATATATTGCAAGTTCATTCAGATTGATAGCTGATTTCACTGGGTGATGGTTTTCTTTTCCACTAAGTGGAGCCCCTAAAATTGCCACATGTTAAACTTGTGAGGGTATGGGCAAGGGATGAGGTTACAGCGTTTTTATTACTTAATTGACTCAAATGCTTGGATCTGTTCTTGAGAAATTAATGATCATGTTTCTGCTTCTTTAAAAAAAATGTTTTAATGACTTTTGCAGAGAGAGGGGAGAAAGGGAGAGAAAGAAACAGACCAGCTGACTCGGGCATGTCCCCCACTGGGGATCGAGCCCACAACCCTGGCATGTATGCTCACTGGGAGTCCACTGGCTATCAAACCAGCAACCTTTTGGTGCACAGGATAATGCTTAACTCACTGAGTCACACCAGCCAGGGCGATGATCCGATAATCGTGTTTCTTTATAATCTGTTTTTGGAGAGCTATAAATGAATGTACAAACAACGTCTTTACAAAAGAGAGACTTTCAACAAAGAAATCCCCAAAGAAACAATAGAATGATCATTTCTTATTAATGATATGCAATTTTCCTTTTGGAAGAAGCTTAAATATATGGATCTTGGGAGGGGTGGTATTTTGCAAAAGTGACAAAGAATTAATTTAATCTCTTTGATGATGTAAAACGTTGCTCCTCGTTAAGGCATTTGCAAGAGATTCTTTTACAATTCAAATTTCGACAAACATTGAGTTAAACAAACAACCCTATAAAGATAACAGTAATGCATAACTTGACTCACAGCAAAGCAGGACTGGGTGGGTGTAGGGAATAGAAGTGGGTGGGGCTTGTGAAAGAATCTAGTGGTGATAAGTGAGCCTTGGCCAGGAGCCTGATGACGTTTCTGAGGACAGAAGGAATGTTATCTAGTCCCTGATTAGTGCTGTCCTTCAGAATTTATCCTTTCCCAGAACCAACTCCTCTCACTGGCTTGCAGCTGGCATACATCCAAGAGGGAAAAGATGTGAAACCCTGCTTTTTTTGTTGTTGTTCCCTGCAGAGCACCCGCCTCCCTCTTCCGCATGGCGTCCAGTGGCCTTGACCCTGCTCATTTTGTTCTTGGTGCTGCTGATTGGCCTGGCAATACTGGGGTTTATGTGTAAGTCTGTACTCTGGGGGGATAATCCTGGTTCCCGGGTTTGTCTAGGATGAGAAATATTTGTTATGGAATATATATATTTTTTACTTTAATTCTAGATTCTGTGGATAATTCAATGTACCTTGTTCTGAAGTACCTACTTAAATAGTGAGTAGTGGAAGAAGCATTAAAATAAAGAGCTCATTTGCCAGCTAGACTTTTATATCTGTCTGAGATAAGAAGTGGTTGTCTCTTTGTTTATATGCCAATATTTACAATCAATGATTTTTAATAAGTGCATGCTTCAGCTTCTACCACGCCACAGAAGAGTTAAAGCGTACCTAGCTCGGTGGGCTAATACAGAGGAAAGAGATTTCATTTATATCCCGCCCCCTCAATATAAGGAGAAAGACCAGGTCTTTAATCACTATAATATGTTTCAAAATATCCAGGAAGTTATTGAATCATTTTTAAAAACCTGTGAAAATAAAAAAAAGGAAAAGTCTTTAAATTTCAAACGAGTACAGACAAAGTTCAAAAACATTAAAAAGGAATTGGACACATTTGCTTCATCAGAAAATCGCATCACCGCAATGTTTCCTGAAACAGTTGAAGAAGATGGTTCAAGATAAAAGGTTCATTGAAGAGCAGGTTTCAACGTCACAATTTTTTTTTGTTTTTATTCTCACCCGAGGGCATTTTTCCATATTTTGTTCAGAGTTTAAACCTAAGTGTTGACATTTTAAACCAAGTGATAGTAACATGTTCTCACTTGTTCAAACTGCAAATGTGTAAAAATATAGAAATGATAATATGACATTGAGATAATGGTACATTGTCAATACTCAATATAATGGACAAAGGATAAATGGACTTGTGGTTTTAGGTTGAGTAATGTTTTGAGAATATATTAAAAAATTATTAAACAGTAAATATGGTTAAGGAATTTATTCCTGACTTTAGAAACTGTTACTATGACTTCATATTTTCAGACAAGGAACAGACTTAGAGAAATTAATTTGCCCACAGAAATACAATCTGTTATGTACTACAGTCCAAACTTGAATATAGGTGGTAAAAGATCTCAGAGCCTGAGATCATACTGTTTTGTCTTCCTTATACGTAGAAAATAGAAATAGAAATGAAGAAATAAACGGTCTCGTTTGACTTGGTAACTTGGGTTAGTTTTTCAGGTCTACCAGCTCTCCAAAACTCAGAAAGACAGCATGAATAAATTAGAAGAAAGATCGGGGAATCTCTCTCAACAACTGCAATCTCTGCAAGCCCAGAATAGGAAACTTGCAGAAACTCTGCAGCAGGTGGCTGAAAAGTACTGTCGTGAGCTCTATAACAAAACTGGAGGTGAGTCCGGATCACTAAGCTTGCTCTACCCTCAGGATGTCTGTCCATGTAGGGCTGGCTTTCTCATCAGTGTACCTGGGAACCAATATATTAATTAACTAGTTCCATTATTTAACTAATTGTCTGGCAAACTTAATAGTTTGTGGTTCCAGAGCATGTCCATTTATTGGGATAATTTAACCCAAATACATCTGTGTTATAACACATGAAGCGATTCCTGAAATTCAGAGATTTTAGACAATGCAAGAAGCCTAGGATGTGAATATATCTGCATATTTAAGAAAAAATAAGGAGCTTGTGTACCTGGACCAGAGTGAGTGAGTAGAAGACTAATAGAAGATGAGGCAGAGATTATTTATGACACTAAGGGACATTGTAAGGGATTTGGCTTTCATTTTGAGCAAAATGAGGATTCATTACAGGACCTTGAGCAGAGGAAATACGTATCTGACATGAATTTTTAAAGGCTTACTCTTCAAATATGTTGAATATACATTAGAAGAGGGAAGGATAGAAACAGAGAAATCACCGAAGAGATGGCCATTGCAGTAATCTAGGTAAGAGATAGTGGGGGTTCAAACCAGGATATGATCAGCAGACATGAACTCATGATGGAATAAATGAGTTGTGAGAGAAAGAAAGGAGTCAAAGGTATCTCCAGAGTTTCTGAGAAAAGCAACTAGAGCATAGAGACGTGATCAAGAAAAATGGGGGGAAGTTCTGTGTCTATAAAGGGGGAGGTTAGAACCAGGAGTGCTGTTTTAGGCAGACTGAATATGAAATGTAATTTAGATAAATATGTGGAGCTGTGGCCAGGTAGTTTGGTATATAAGAAATAAAATCTAGGCCAGAGATATAAACTGACTTATAAAGACATCTCCTAATTTATTAATTTGTTTAAAACTTTGTTTTGTCTTATGAAATATTTCAAATATACAGTAAAATACAAGCAATAATATAGCTATTTCTATTGACCACTCAGATTTTAACGTGTTTACATTTTGGCACTGGATTGTTTTTAAAATAAAGACATTTTTATAGCATTGTTAAGTTCCCATCCTACTCTACGCCAACAAGGGACTTGGTTACAGGTACCCCACTCTCAAAGCTCCAAGGCCATGTTGCCACATAGGTATTAAACCATGGCTGTCAGGGCTTAGTTCCTATATTTACAACCACTACCCACAGTAGTACATCTCACCCTTAAGTATGTACTGAATTCTCTAACTTTGATGCCCTTTCTTTCTTTCTGATACATGAAGATTTACTATTCTAATTCATACTTGGCTTAGTACTTATGCATTTTTCCTAAAATTTTATTTACTTGTGTTTAGAACAAGAAAAGAGTTTATATCCTATTGGCATATATATATATATATATTTTTTTCTTCTTCTTTATTGATTTTAGAGAGAGAGAAAGGGAGAGGAAGAGAGATAGAAACATTGATGAAAGAGAACATCAACTGGACACCTCTTGCATACCCCCACAGGGGATTTGGCCCACAACTGGGGCATATGCCCTGACCGGGAATAAAACTGGTGACCTTTTGGTTCATGGGTCAACACTCAACCACTGAGCCACACCGGCCAGGCAATATTGTATTTAAAAAAATTTTTTTCCATTGATTTTAGATAGAGTGGAAAGGAAGGAGGGAGGGAGGAAGAGAGAGAGAGAGAGAGAGAGAGAGAGAGAGAGAGAGAGGAAGAGAAACATCAGTATAAGAGAGACACATAGATTGATTACCTCTGGCACAACCCCAACGGGGGTTGGATATTGAACTTGCAACCCAGGTACGTGCCCTTGACTGGAATCGAACCCACAACCCTTTAGTCTGTGGGCCGATGCTCTAACCACTGAGCAAAACCAGCCAGGGCAATATTGCATTTAAAACACTTTGCTATATAGCCTAGCCGGTGTGGCTTAGTGGATTGAGCTTCATCCCATGCACTAAGAGGTCTCTGGTTGAATTCCGGTCAGGGCACGTACCTCGGTTGCAGGCCCTATCCCCAGTAGGGGGCATGCAGGAGGCAGCCAATTGATGTTTCTCATCTATATTTCTTAATCTCTCTCTCTAAAAAATCAGTAGAAACATTAAAAAAAACTTTGCTGTATAGAGGATTTTGCTATTATATAAGAGGATTTCTAAGAAGAAAATTATAAAACTTCAGTTGTTTCTTAAGTACATTTCATGTTGAGTTTCTGAACATATGAAAAGTTCTTTATGCATTGAACATCCTCTCTATATGCTGAATTGCATAGGGCAAGGAGCAAGGAAGTTCCAATCATTCAATGCTAGATTCCATGTCCATGAAAGCAGGTAGTGTCTGTTTTAATGTCCACTGTATGCTCAGGACAACTCTTGGTCTATAGTGGTTGCTAGGTAAACATTTGTAGTTATCATTGCCTAGGCAACTACATATTTAAGAGAAAGGGAATCCATTCTTTCTTGGATTATCAAATACTGTATAATTTCAAGAGAGGAAAGAAAACAGATCTAGGTAGAAAATAACTTACTAAAACTGGTTTCTTTCCAAGAGCACAGATGTAGCCCTTGCTCAGAAAAGTGGAGGTGGCATGGGAACAAATGCTACCAATTCTATACAGAGAGCAAGAGTTGGCAGGACTGCGACTATTTCTGTATTGCTGAGAACTCAACCATGCTGAAGATAAACACACAAGACGTGCTGGTAAGGTCCTGAGGTTTGGTCAGTGTTTGAAGTATTCTCAACAAGATGTCTTTTTTTTTTTTTTTTTTTTTCCGCACACGCCCCTAACGGGAACTGAACCTGGGACTCTCTGGTCCGCAGGCTGATGCTCCAACCTCTGAGCCAAACTGGCCAGGGCTCAACAAGATGTCTTTAAAAGAGAAGAATCTAAGGTGTCACGGTCCACAGACTCTCCTAAGCAGGGCTATATATCACTTTGTACATATATGTGTATAAGTATGTGCCCTGGCTAGGTGGCTCAGTTGGTTGGAGCATCATCCCCTACATCAAAAAGTTGCAGTTTTGATTCCTGGTCAGGTTACATACATAGATTATTTGTTTAATCCCAGTCTGGGTGCATATGGAAGCCAACTGATTGATGTTTCTATCTGACCTCTCTCTCTCTCTCTCTCTCTCTCTCTCTCTCTCTCAAATCAATGAAAGAATATATTCTCAGGTGAGGATTAATATATATATATATATTTCTCTTCCTCCTCTTCCTAGTCTGAGACATAAATCATCCTTCCAAATTCTTTTACCTCTTTGACTTTAAATCTTTTCATTTTTCTCTTGTCCTTCTTGGTTAGTTCCTTTCCATATTATTTCTAAAGGTTACTTCCCCATTCCTGCATTTCTCAGAATCACTTCACATCTCTTTGTAAATTTGCCTCCTGTATTTTTTTTTTTTATATCAATCTAAGTGTTTACCCTGTGACTTGAAAATAATGGGCCACATACATCTTGATTGATGTGATTCTTTGTTTCAGAATATCAGTATATCATTCATGTTTATTAAGACAAATGAAATTCTTTAAGTTGGACAAATTAACTGACCCTAACGTAGATGCTTTCCTCTTAAGTGAACTACTATTTATGTGAGGCAGGAGTCATGTGCTGTTCTTATATTCAACATGACTCCTGGCTGGCACTACACATCCCTGTATATATATGCATTATAATGTCTCTAAAAGCTAAACGTTTTCTTGTGTGCCTTTTCAGCAGCTTGCCATGCCTCTGAGCTACAATGAGTTTTTCTACTCTTACTGGATAGGGCTATCCCGCAACGGCAGTGACAAGGCCTGGCTGTGGGTGGATGGAGCACCTTACACCTCGGAATTGTAAGCCTTCAGAAATATTTTGTAGGAAAGGCATGTCATAGGAAGGTATTGCTTGAGTGACAGAGTTCAACAAATTGATTCAACAAGCATTAACTGAACATCTGCTTTGTATTGGATACCATGTTTGTAGGAGGATGCCCAATGATGTATAAAATAGTGCTTGCTTCTGAATGGCTGATTAACCAGTGAGGGCGAACCCATGCACCAAGAGGTTGCTGGTTCGCTTCCCAGTCAGGGCACATGCCCAGGTTGTGGGCCCGAGCCCCCACTCTCTCTCTCCCTCTCCCTTCCTCTCTAAAATCAATAAAAGAAAAATTAAAAAAAAAAGACACCTCTCTTCTCTATGTACCACATAAGGTTTATTCTTCCAGGAGATAGGACATATACAACTTAATCATTTTTATTTTACGGTTGAGGAAACTGAGTCACAGAGAAGATAGGTCATTTTTCAGATGGCTGTAAAAGTAAAGTATTCGTTAAAGTTAGATGATAACATGTACTTTAGTTTTAGTTAGAAATAGGTTTTGTTGTTTGGGGTGACTTGATGTTTCAAAAAATGACTGTGGAAGTTGAGGGGCTGAAAAGAAAGAGGTTGGTGACTCCATTTTTCCAGTAAACTCACTCTGGGCATCTATTCTATAATTTTATCACGCTAGGAATATTTCTTATATACTTTCTGAGTACGAGTATTTTCTTTTAGAAATAAACTATAATGAACATTATTTTTTTTCTTCTTTTTAAAGGTTTAGGATTAAAGCAGACTTGACCAGCCTCAGAGACAGGGACTGTGCGACCATCCTCAGCGGAACTGTGTTCTCGAAGAACTGTCAGGAGCTGAGGCGGTGTGCGTGTGAGAGGAGGGCAACCGCAGTCCGGGTGGAGAGGCTCCCTTAGCCTCTCGCAGAGGCGGGAGCCTTCTCTCTGCCAAGGGCCATTTGGATATTTATAACATCATTCAGGGGCCGGACAAAATCATCAACTTCAAAAGTAGCCTGCTATCTTGGGTCAGGCTAATTTGGTGAGTCGTGCGATGTCAGCTGGTATTGATTTCATGGGCATTACACGGCCTGTGGCTGGACATCCCTCACCCCTGCCCCGGAGGTGATTGACTCTCCAGCTACCACGACGACGCTGGCTCCCTTCAGAGAAATTGAAGATCAGAACAAAAGTCAGTCTCTTCACGTGCCTTTGTAAGAGTTTGGTTTTAAACTATTCTCTGTCATTTGATCCGCGTTTGTATAACAAGTCAACAGAAAGTTTGAGCACAGCAAAGGCAATGCAAAGGATATTTGAGACCTAGGGAAATGGGAAAACAATCAGAAAGGGCAATCCTTCTGACAGGCACAAGAAGGATTTTTATGGTTCTTGATCAAGATCACCAGCACTTCTGAGCTTGGAAGTTCATGCCTGTATTCACCAATCACAAAGGAGTGTTGATTCATGTCACCAACCAGCTCCAGGAGCCCATCAAGTTGTAATCCACCTTCTGGATTTTGAGATAACTTTCTAGTGTTCTTCCCTTTCAGCATCTAATATCATCTCCTATTTCCATGTCTCCCTTAATATTTAGAGAAATGAGAGACTTAAACAGAGGAAATAAATGTACGTAACATCCTCTGCTCCAACAGTCGATTAGTCCATGAGAAATTAGCAATCATTTCTTATGTTGAACTACCAAATGCAAAACTATTTCATTTTGTTTGCTTAAGTTCATAATTTTTTCCTTCTCAATTTCTCGATAGAGCCCCCAATTGCTGTGTCTATGGCCTGCAGGGAAATTCTCTCCATTAGAGTCTTAACTTCTTACATGTCTATTTAAGATTCCACTGATTGTCTCCTTCCCCTAGCAATTTCTTCTAGGGTAAACATATTCTCAACTTGGTTGCATATCAGCATTACTCTCCCTGATGTTCTCAGAGAGATTGATGACCAGAACCAAAGTCAGTCTGTTTATATGCATCTGTTATGTGCATTGGTTTCAGTTCCTATTTGCTACCATTTGATCTATGTTTATACCTTTCAGGTACTGAAGATTTAATAATAATAAAAGTAAACAATGTGAAGCATGTGTGATTTTAGAATGGATTTGTGATTTAGGGAAATATTCAGTGTGGAAATGTTCTTCAAAAGATGATAGATGTCAGTGTTCTAATTGTTGGCTCCTCATTGAGACCTATGGGCTCTGTAAGAGTGCTGATATTTGAGGAAAATAAGAAGTCCTTGAGATGCATGCTGTCTTCAAGAGGATGGTTTTAATACTTTCCTGAAATGAAATTGTTTGAGGCAAGTTTACGTCATCAACATGTGACTCAAAATGAAGAAATCATATTGCAGTAGGGCAAATTATCCAATCAGGTCATGAAAAGTGAGAGACAGTGACATGCTTAGTTGGCTTCCTGTGGAGGTGTCCTTTTCTCAGGATGACAATATGCACCACCACGCAGGGGCCATTGCGAATTACACCATCATAAACACTGACTTCGTTTGTTTATAGAAAAATTCATTTTAGGGCTTTAACACTAGAAAGAATAATTTATTATAAATCTTTACTTTTCAACAGTGGAAACTGGGATGCTTCAGTTTTATTTTCAGTAAACATCTATGTTATGGTAAAATGACATTAAATGATAAAGAGAACACTTTCATGTTCATTTTCATAAGACTCTTACCTTTCAATCACTAATTGCAGATTTCTTAAGATTTTTTTTCTTTCAATTTTCTGTCTATTAGCTAGGGAATTTATTCAGTGTTGAAAAAATTTTGTGTTGATTTACTGTGTTGTGCAAAGAGAACTGTGTTTGTGATCATAAAATGGAAATTTTATATCCCTTATTTATTATTATTAAATCCTTTTATTTCAAGAAGCTTATTTCATTAAGTATAGAGTGGAAATATTTATAATTTCATGATGGTGTTATTGTTAGTTGAAATGAGGTAAATGTGAAATTGGTTCCATAATCTAAATTGCTAATATAAAATTTAAGGTATATTTCAAATATGCAAAAGGGGAGAAGGGATTTAGTGGTTGTTTGAAATATAGGAGAGCACAAATGAGCATGAACAACCTTCTTTGGAGACCTGTATTAATGAACACATTGTAGAGAGGAACCTACTTTGGGGAGCTGTAGATATTACCAAAGTTTTCTATAATGAGTGCAGATATTTAATGCATGCAGTTAATGTAGTAAGCACATAACAAGAAATGTGGATTAGGCCTTCAGTTAGGCAGTGAATTGTTGTTATTTAAGCCTTGCTACTGCAGCAAGAAAATGCAGTTAATATAAACCAACCAGATGAGCCCGGCTGGTGTGGCTTAGTGGTTGAGCATCGACCCATGCACTAAGAGGTCTCCAGTTCAATTCCTGGTCAGGGCACATGCCAGGTTGTGAGCCAAATCCCAATGGGGGCACGCAGCAGGTGGCCGATTGATGTTCTCTCTCATTGATGTTTCTATCTCTCTCTCCCTATCCCTTCCTCTCTCTCTAAAATCAATAAAAAAATTTTAAAAAGTCGAATGACTTTGTGGACTAATTTGTGAAATAGAGACAGGGCAAACAGATTTTGACCCCCGTGTTCAGGGTTGGATAACAAGTATCTCTAAATAACACTGCTTTAAAGAGTCTAGCTGCCTGGAGAGTGGGTGTTGAATAGTATTCTTTCTCCAAATCTGCAACCTAAGGCAAAGTGTCACTTTAGATAGTGAGGAAGGGGGAAAAAAGCATTTATTTGACATTTTTGGCTATTCTTGAGCTTATTTGTTTCTTTCTTTGTCCATCATAACCCCCTCATCTGTATAACAAAGCCCACAATACTGATCACAATATGAGCAAATATTTCAAAAAACAACAACAACAACAACAAAAACAGAAAGGGTGCATGGCACACCATTCTCTCCACAATTAAAAAAAAAGTTTAAAATAGAACATAATCATAACATGAATTTGAAAATATGATTTGCTGAGATCAATTTTACGTTGAGAACCAGAGAGGACAGAGCCTCCTGAACTGGGTTTTCAGCAAGAGAAGAGCTTGTCTGGGCGCTTCTGTGTTTAGGTTGTTCCGAAGCAATTGCAGGAGGAGTCGGACAAGAAGCATGGCCTTTCCTGGTAGACCGAATTCCTCAGGGTGCACAATGGGCTATTTCTTTTCCTGAGGATATTGGACCAGCTCTTAAAACTTATCAACAGGAAACAAGTCAAGAGCCCTGTAACCGCAGGAAGTGCGAGAAGTGTAATGGGAGTTTTTACTTGGGGGATATAAAAAAATTATGAACTAAATAGTCTATTAGGTTGTGTCAGGGATGGTCATCATATTTGGGATTCTTGTAATTCTGACGAACAGGAAAAGGGGCATAATCTGATTTCAAGTGTAGGTAGGTTTTTTTTATAAGCTTCATTGTATAAACAGATCAGTAGAATCTGATAACACATTATTATTCTTTCAATCTTACTATTCGAATGCTGTTGTTTTTTTATCTTTTTACTCAAGGTACTTGAACTGTACCACGTTATACATTTGCTGGGCAGAGTTTTATGTTTCCTTTTCTTTCCCCGTTTTAAAAGCTAACTTGGAACTTAGTGAGATGAATCAAGATACCAAATTTATTATTGGTGGGACTAGGGTATAAAACTGATTATCCCAGTGCTAGGGCCCCCTGTTACCACTGCCTTGAAAAAGGCCTTGATATTCTGGGCCAAAGCAACCTGCAGGGAAAAGTCGTCTACTGGTAACATCTGTGTGGAAAACAATATTGCTACTGAGGGAATTTGAAGAAGCTTCTGCCAGCTACACTCTAGATACAATTCTGACTTGTAGATACATTGCATTCTGGCAGGATGACATCAGCTGAAGGATGTTTGCCTTTTGCTTCACTGTACTTTTTCCGAAAGGAATTATTAAATACTTCCTATGCATTCTCTAAACATAGCTCCATGACAATACTTTGGAGAGTCCTGGAGACAAACAGTCTTTATTAGTAAAATTGCTATTGTTCCTCCTTTACTGCAGGTTATTATATTCCTCTGCCAGCTGTGAAAACAAAACACATGCTGTTTTCTTGGCTCTTCTCCTTTCCCAAGTTTCAGCTGAAAACTGGAGAAAATCCCTTTTATAGACATCCCCGCCATTTAAACTGCAGGTCAAGGTAAACAAAGAAAAAATCGCAAAAATGTGCCCTTCCCTCTCTTGAAGGACCTTGCCCTTCAGAGGTTGCCTTTCACAACAGCCTTGTAAGTTCATTTCAGTGAATAGATTTTATTTCACTTTATCTATTTAAGTGATGTCTTTATTATAGAGAATGAGGAGAATCTAGTGTACTCAGCTACTTCGTGTGAAAAATGAAAGCTTTAATACAATTATATTGATTTTAGCAAATATTTGATAAGAATCTTTGGTGTAGTAAGTTGTTGTAGGTGTGGTAAGTGGTAGCAGAGTAATAATAATTAGTGAATTTTTCCTTCCTAGCATAAGATACTGTCACATCCACTGTCTCTTGGGAACAAGCTAATCCATGCTCAAGGAGTCTGCAGACCTAGGACACAGATTGTCTATAGATGTATTTGCAGAAATTCATTCACTTTATTCATTTATTCATTTAATATATGTTTTTATTGATTTTTTAGAGGGAGAGGAAGGGAGAGAAAGAAACATCGCACTCCCCCTACTGGAGATGAGCCTGCAGCCAGGCCATGTGCCCTGACCAGGAACTGAGCTGGGACGGCTCAGTCTATAGGAGGACGCGCAGTTCACTGAGCCACACGGCCGGGCTCATTCACTTTGAGAGATATATTTTCTCCAGACAGTTGATGGCATTTTACATATAAACTTTATCTTCTCAGTATTCCTGGAACATGAGCAGGAAAAGGGGCCATTTTCACTAGGAATACACACGTAAAGGGATGCCTAGAGATGACTGGTGATCTGCTCCAGATAATAATAGCAAGCGCCCACAGAGTGTCAAACTCTACATAAGGTGCTATTTTAAGCAATTTGCATATATTGATTTAAACCTCAACAATATTCTGAAATAAGTTATATTACTCTTTTACAATAAAGAAATCAAGGCACAGAGAAATACAGTTAAGAGTGCTGGAGAGCTGTTCGTCCAGCTTGTGTGGCTCAGTGGATTGAGCATAGTCTCATGGACTGAGAGGTCCTGGTTCCATTTCCCCGTCAGGGCACATGCCCGGGTTGCGGGCTTGATCTCCAGTAGGGGGTGTGCAGGAAGCAGCCAATCCATGTATTTCTCTCACATCGATGTTTCTATCTCTTTCTAAAAAAAATCAAGCAAAATAGCCTGGCCAGTGTGGCTCAGTGTCTCTGTTGTAATTATGCAGCTCTCACACTGTAGCATATAGCAGCCACAGATAGTAGGTAAATGAATGAGCATGATTGTGTTCCAATAAAACTTTACTTACAAAAACAGACTGGAGCCTGGCCAGTGTGACTCAGTGGCTGAGCATCAACCCATGCACCAAGAGATCGCCAGTTCAATTCCTGGTCAGGCACATGCCCAAGTTGTGGGCCAAATCCCCAGTGTGTGTGTGGCAGATAAGCAGGAGGTGGCTAATTGATGTTCTCTCTCATCAGTGTTTCTCTCTCTCTCTCTTTCTTCCTTCCTCTCTCTCTCAAAATAAAAAAAAAAAAAATTAAAAATCAATAAACATATTAAAAACAAAAGTGCTGAAAGTTAAACTTCGAGGGTCCAGACTGTGAGACCTTTGATTTGTGAATGGTAGGGGTGGTCAGTGAGAGGAGGAGGAGGCACAGAGCTGTCTGTCACTGGAGACATGCTGGTACTGGCAGCCCGACTATCCCTTCCACTTACGTGAGTGCTGGTAATTCATCTCTCTAGCAGAAATCTACAGTTTTAACAGGGTATTGTCTTACGGGCAGTTGTGATCAGCCTCTCTTCCTTCCAGTTTGAAAGTCTATATGCCTGGGCTCCCATCCTACCAGTCTGATACTGATGCCTTGGAAACCTAGCAAATACATAAAAGATCTGGTAGACAAAGAGTTTAAAGGCCACATTTATCTATTTATTTTAAAAAATTAGCTAGAACAGCATCATCTCCCCAGTGATTTATAGATTTCTGTGTAGAGTTCATAGTCATTCTAGAGTAAAAAGAAAACACACACAAAAAATGACAAATGAAAATGTCTGTTCTTCAGTTTGTTGTCAACCCTTCAGGGTTTTGTCCTTTGTAGCACTAAATCAATTCTATTCTTGGCAATGTGAACACTACCCAAAGGATGTCTGGGAAGTAAAGAATATTACCCAGTGTAAATGCAAACTTGAGTTTTGAGTCCCAGCTAGCTAGTTTAGCCCACACATAGGTTTACTTCTGCTTTTGCTATTTGGCATTTTGTGGTAAGTTTTTCAATGGCCTGTTCCAAATACTATTGCAATAGATCACTTCGAACTGAACTTCTTTTAGGCAGGGGATCTTAACGTGTACTTCTCACAAATAAAGTATTTCCAAAAGGTGCAGTTGGAGGAAGAAAGGACCTTGTCTCTGAAGTATCCACAGAGCCGGTGAGTTGACTGAGTTCTCTGTATTGGCAACCTGGAGAGGCAAGTCGGTGTACATAAGGTTAGGTGTGGCGCTTACAGTGCTGTTCTTATGGGTAACTCAGAAGAGGTGTGTAGTTTTTTGTTTTGTTCTCCTTTGAATAAGACACATTCCTGTAGGAGTTTTGTCTTCCTTCTGTAATAACAGAGCTGTTTTCTCTCAATAAAAAAATATGTAATATAATTTGAACAAACTGCACATTAAAACTCAAAGACAGGCTCTAAATTAGAATATCTTTCCTGACTCTTAATTCTCAAAAATACTAAAGCAGCTGATTCCGTTCACTAATTTCCCTACGTCTATCTGAAAAGCTTAATATGGAAATTTCTTAATACTATAATCTCTTTCCCTCAGCACTCTCTAGCCATTACATTATACAAAAGAAATGTACTTGATGATTAAATAATATTGTTCATTTGGACTCTCAGATTTTGATGTAAATGTTCTAGAGGTTAATGGTGGTGAGGCTGACAAGGAGGAAGATGTAGAAACCATGAAGCTGATTTAAATTACTCGGCTTTGATTCCAGTCAGAAGCCTATGAACTTATAATGCTAGTTATGTTTCTTGGAGGAAATGTAAAATATAAAATAAAATGAAAACTTGAATTCCCTCATGTATTTTCTTCTTGTAACTTTGTGATTTTTCCCTTCGACACTTACAGGTCAGAGGAAGGCAAGGAGCCATCTTGCCAAAACCAGGGCTGGCTGGGTCCATCCTGAGTCAGTCCCACCCAGTAATCATAGCCTCTTCTGATCTTTTGCAGTCTGCCAGTAATAAAGTCCTATAAGAAACAAGACCAGGTTGTGAACTGAGGGGGGGGGGGTACCAACAACCAACTACCATGAAATATAAAGTGTGCCATTTTTCCTAGACAGACATCAATGCGAACTTTAAAGCTGGAGAAAGAAGGGGGTATATTTACAAGAAGAAATACATTTCATAGACTTTTTTTTCCCTATTGCCATACAATCAGTGAAGTGTTAAAAACTAAAGGAAAAATAGGCATCTGGTATTAAAATAGAGCAGGTTTAGAGTTTGGCAGAGATATATGTCCACGAAGGTAAGTGTTATACTGAACCCTCACTATCAGAAGAAGTAAAATATCCTTGTCGGCACAGACCACGTAGATCATACTTACATGCTCCTATATGAAAAATAGTTTAGAAGATTCCAGAAGCAACTTAACTGTAGGCATATTGTGTTAGCAGAAACATTACTAACATTTGTCAACAAATTTGCACAGAAAACAGTGAAAACCCATAATTGTAATAAATTAGTTTGATTTGCCTTGCTTTACTGCATATCCTTAACAAATTGTTCTGCCATTATTCTCATAAAAATGAACTTCGGCTAATTACTGAGTATAGCAACATACACTTTTAATAAGTTCAGAAAGGTGGAACTGTACATTCTACTTTACATATATGGGTAGAATAATTTCAGAAAAACTTCTATTGTTTGCTTGTTAAGATGTTAGTAAATTGGGTTTAATGTCAATTAAACAACTTATTTAGCAAATGTTAATTTTATACACCCTTTCCATTTCATGACATCACCTCACTTTTTATATTTCTGATTTTCCTTGATAATTGAAAACTTTTATAGGTTATTATACTTCCTTACAGCATAAAAATAATAAATTTAAAACATATACACAATTATAATGTATGTATATCTTGGAGTAGATTAGCATGTCACAAAATGGTATTTCTTTTATTCATTCCAATATTTGATTAACAAAGGACATAGAACTAACATAAGCTTCTTGATTTCGGGATAATCATCCTGTTTTTTGTTTGTGTCTCCAGTTAAAAAAAACACAAACCATAATAATTCCTACTTTGTCTCATAAACCTTTGTTACAACAAATATACTACTGTTATACAATATTAAGGAATTCTATCTTATTACAATTAATTCTTTCTTTTAATAGGTAATATGATATTTTCAGAATGATATGAAACCATAAAATAGTGTTTACCATTTCTTCTTTGCTGTCTATTTGTAGAAGATTAGACCTCTCCTTCAAACAATTCTCTTTACCGGTTTTCCAAATACTCCAATTTTCAAAGATACGGTAACAACTTTTTTCATTCTGAATCCAGTTGTCTGGACAAGGGCTGCAGTTAGGAGCTTTGAATAAAACATTTTAGTTTATTAAATTTATTGTAAAAATATTACAAGCACATCTCTTCAAAAGAACCCCTTGTATCACCATCAATGAAGCTGACCATTCTAAGCAAATCTTCCATATGCTATAGTTCTTACTGATTTCAGCTTCTCTGAGGTGACTATGATAATATTTATATAATCATTTCCAACTGTAACAGGTCTCTAAGAATCAGTTTAAGATAAAATTAACTTGAGAATATCTTTTATCAAATTATTTCTCTTCTATAATAATTGATCTGATTATTCTATTTTTATAAATCTCCCTTTCCTTAAGTTTACCTCATTTATAGTCTTCATTTGTTTGCTTATCATTTCATACTTGTTAATCTTACTGGCCCAGTCTAGTTTGAAATGCACTGGACCATTAAGCAAGTTGAGTAATAAGCCTCAAGTTGATGCTTAAATTCTGAGGTTTAAACGTGAAAATGTTTTATGTATAATGGAGAGAACAAGCAATGTACCTTAGAGAGTAATTTGAAAATATATAAGTGAAAAAACTTGAAGAAAATGTGACCAATATGCTTATTTTAGGACTTTGATATAACTAAGAAGTAAGCCACAATGTTTAATCAGCTTTATGAAATCTGCCTTAAGAAAGAATGTATTCACAAAAGAAGGGTACTCACATGTATAAAAGGGAAACCAAACAGCAAGATTTTGACCAGGTGTTTCTGGCACAGTTTTATAAAGGAAAAGACACTGAAATTTCCAGAACTCAAGTTTCTAGAGAAAGTCATGAATAGCATTATCAGCTTCCATGGCCCAGATACTGAGTTGTTTAAGGCTCTTCAATATCCTTTGTTTGGAATCTAGGCTAATCAGGATCCTGAATATTGTTAAAGTTACAGCATACATAGCATTGACAATGGCAATTGAAGGCTTGGAGAACATGCTGAATACGTTGGTCTCCAAACAGATATTGTCTTCAACTGAAGGTCGATGGCTCAGAAGTGGACCTAAATCATGCTTGCAATGGCCTCTTATATTTAAAAAATTTGTTGGGCACACAATGATTCTTTAAACATTTACTTGACTAAAATTCAATCAGAAGGATCTATGGTAGGTTTTTGACTTCTCTCATTGGTGATTACTTAAATGGTATCCACTTCAGGGAAGTTAATTCTCTAAATTATATGTATGAGTATTATTAAATGTTAATTAAGTAATCATAGAATACTTTACAAACTCTACAACAGATAGAAATAGACTGTTTTAGGTTGAAAACATTTATAAAGGATTTAAAATATATAACTGAAATAACTTCATAGAATTTTTAAAAAGAGCTCCATTGTTATAGTTTAATGTTAAATACTCTAATTTTTAAATGATTTTTTGCTGAAAGAGTTATCTAAATTTGAACTTAAAGCAATATCTAAAATAAATATATCAAAGAATCTGAAGCTACAGTTAAAGATATAAATTAGAGTGATTGGATAAAACGTCTGACCTACTAATATCACACGTTTCACTTTGAAATTTGAGTGAATGTGTTCTTTATCTACATTTCTTGGAACCTCTGTATTTTCTACATACTATTGAAATACATAAATAAGATTGATCTGGATGATGAATCAAAAGTATGTTTCGTCCTTTATAAAATGCTGATTATGATTTTGCAGAGAATAAAATGAGTGTCACTGTTTCTTTTGGGGATTTGCTGCATACATTTGTATCTGCAAAGCGAAAACTTACTGTTATATCAGTTACCTGAACTGAAAGAGTTTTGCAGCAAGGTTTGGCAGTGTTTTATCTGGAGGTCATGGCTGGTCTTCCACTTTGTGAAGTTCAACAGTGCTTTGTCCTGTTCCATGAGTTTTTCTTGCTGTTTCTTTGCAATAGCTGACACCTGGAACACTTCAAACAATAACACTCATTTCTATAATTTCCTGACAACTTATAAAAGAGTCATCCTTCAACACAAACTAAAGACAACTACTAATTGTTGATGATTTTTGTGACTTTAATTTGCACTATTTTAAGTATTTATTTAAAATTCACATTGTTCAAGAATTATCTACTATTCTATGCTGTACACCTAATAAAAAATAATATTGAATTTAAACTGTAATTGAAAATAAAATTTAAAAATTTATATATCTAAAGGAAATGTGAAGAAAGGCTTCATTAATAAAATTAAGACTTGTTGAAAACAAAAAACAATTATTTATTTATTATTATTATTTTTTAAATCCTCACTTGAAGATATTTTTGCATTTATCTCCAGATAGAGTGGGAGGAGGAGAGGGAGGAAGAGAGAGAGAGAGAAAAACATCGATGTGAGAAAGACACATCAAGTGCCTGCCACCTCTACAACCCTTGGGGTCAGGGACAAACTGCAACCGAGGTACGTGCCCTTAGCGGAAACTGAACCCTGGACTCTCTGGTCTGTGGGCTGATGCTCTAACCACTGAGCAAGACCAGCCAGGGCCAAAAAACAATTTATATTGTTCAAGATAAAAACTAAAAAAAAAAAAAAAATACGCAGCAAAAAGCCTCTTTGCCACCCTGCTTCTTTTTAATTTAATTTTATATTTTTATGATTTTTTTTAGAGAGAGAGGAAGGAAGAGAGAGAAACACCAATCGGCTGCCTCCTGCGTGCTCCCTACTGGAAATTGAGCCTGCGACCTGGGCATGTGCCTTGACTAAGAATCAAACCGGGACCTCTCAGTCCATGGCTCAATCCACTGGGCCACACCGGCTAGGCATGCACCCCTTTCTTCTTCTTCTTCTTTTTTTCTTTATTGATTTTAGAGAGAGAGGAATGGAGAGGGAGAGAGATTGAGGCATTGATGAGAGAGAACACCAGTTGGCTGCCTTCCGCATGCCTCCTACCCGGGATGGGGTCTACAATCTGGGCATGTGCCCTGACCAGGCCTCTCGATGCATGGGTCGACACTCAACCACTGAGTCACACCAGCCAGGCACTTCTACTCCTCCACAGCAGTCAGGAGCACCAATTTCTTCCTTCTTCTTCTAGAAGTAGTTTGAGTTTTACAAGCAAATGAACATAAAATGCCCTTTCTTACCTTTACATAAATGGTAACAATCTGTTTACATAGTTTTGCACCTTTTATCACTTGAAATACATTTGGACATAATTTTATATTATTATTTCACTATCATTGTGTAGGATTCCACTGTATGGATATATCATGCATGAATGTATCATTACTTATTTTAGTAATTTTCTATTGACTTTTAGACTATTTGTAACCTTTTGGTGTTACAGAAATGAATACTATAATAAAGAACCTTAGTCATATATAATTTTACACATGTGCAAGTATATTTTTACGGTAAGTTTCTAGGTCAGTTTATGTGCATTTATTCAAACCATAATCGATACATCCAAATTACCCTTCAGGTACACTGATGCAAATGGTATCTCAAATCATTGGAACTTGCATCTCTTTTTATGTTTGATGTTGAAATGATTTTTCACACATATAAATAAAAGTCAGTTGTACTTCATTGTTTTATGAAGTATATAATTCTATCCTTTGTAAATTTTTTCTTTGAGTTTCTAGTTTTTTTGTTTCTATGAGGTACTTATTGCGCTATGAGAGTTCATTTGAGCAGGCCGGGAATCAGCCTCAGCTGGGCTTCTAAAGTTTCTGCATGGAACCGATTGACCCATGGACAAGGCATCAAGCATACTCATTAAACAGTGTAGGTTTGTAATCATCAGCCTGAGAATTTTTGGGGGTGGGGGCAGATTATATTAGTTTGTCAGCATTGTTTCTTGATAACATATTGTTGATGATTCATCCCTGGTTACAAGGAGACCCTGAGAAGTCTCTGCCTTGAAGCTGGTTACCTTGCAGGAATATGCCTGTGTGGTCAGCAAAATATAAAAATCCCAGCGACACTCCGTTTGGGGTTCCCTAGTACCAAGGTGTTCTGTGTACACATCAGTGGTTCCTCATTCAAGAGAGAAACTGTGCTCTGAAAGGATATTACAAGGGAAGAACAAGGGTGCCTGCCTGCACCTGGCCTCCCCAGACCTCTTAATGTAACATATCCTTATTTTAATGCTGTTGTTAAATTATATCCTCTTCTTGTAATAAAATAGATCTGTAAGCACTGTGACTTTAGGGTTCACACGGTCCTACAAGTCTTCTGGAGCAACCAATCCTGTTTCCTGAATCTGTTCGTGTACTTACATTTTGGTAAAGTTAGCTTTTCCTATGATATAAGCTACAGTGACATTGCCCTAGTTTGTCTTTCGACTTTGCTTGTGGTAGCTAACCCCCACATTGATCAGATCTTTGTGTGTGTGTGTGTCATTTTTAGTAAAAGTTTTATGCTGGAGATTAAACTGTTATAAGTATATTTTACATTTACTTTTTGATCTTGCTGGGATTTTTTTTTCCTCCTAAATTATATGATATGACTTCACCATTTCCCCCGAGATGGCTGAATAGTTCTCATATCATTTTTGACTCTTTCCCCCCCCATACTCTCTATTTGCCACCTTTAACTTACTGTAAATTTCCAGTGAAGTACTTGGTTACACAGTATTTCTATTGTTTTGAGCATATTCAAGTCAGCTACTTATCTTTTCATATGTCAGCACCACATAGCCTTAGTCATTTTAGGTTTTTAATTTATTTTAATATTTGATAGGGCCAACCCTTCTCTTATTTTCACATTAATTTTTGGTTATTCTCTTCTGACAATTCTGGCTAGCTTATTAAGCCAGTTCACTTTAAATATCATGTTATAAAGTATCTATCTATTCCTATTTTGTGAAATATTTTTCTAAGCATGGATATTGATCTTCTTTGTCTTGTTTGATTTTTATAGAATTTCTTGAAATGGTGGCTTAATGTTTTTAATCAATTATTGAAAATACTTATCCGGTAAGTCTTTTAATCATATTACTTTTGCCCAACTCTCTGTCTTCTACTTTTGGGTTTATTGTTGCACATAAGCTAGTTAGCTCTGCCTCAGAGGAAGACTTGGTTACAATTTTGCTGGTTCCTAATAGAGAATATTGGCATGAAGGTGAAGTTTTTATATAAAAAATAATAATTTCTGTCTGCATGTTGTCTCATGATTAGCTGGTTAATATTCATAATAAAATATTTAATTGCATATCTGCATTTTCTGTCTGTTATAGTCATCAACATTGTTTCTGAGAAGGAAATGCTAGAAGAGCCATGGACTAGAGAAAGCAGGTGCTTACGCCCTGTCCATCTGTGGGTAGAGCCAGGAACCCAGGCTGCCAGTGGATTATTCATTTTTCTTCTTAGCAAAAGGCTGGATCTCACCAGAGTGGGGAGTAGGACAGTGGTGTTATTTATGTTATTCTATTAATAATCTGGCTTGTTTAGACAATGAAAAAGAATAATCTTCCTTTTATAAATTTGAAGTATTATTCTAAAATGTTTAATTTTGATGAATGTCTTAGATTAACTATATATTTTTATTTCTTTTTAAAATTCTCACCAGAGGATATTTTTTCATTGATTTTTAGATAGAGTGGGAGGGGAAAGGAGGAGAGAAAGAGAGAGACATAGCCATTGGTTGCATCCCACATGACCCCTGCCAAATCCGGGGATCGAGCCTGCAACCAAGGTATGTGCCCTTGACTGGGAATCAAACCTGCGGCTCTTCAGTCCACAGGCCGACACACTAACCACTAAACCAAACCGGCCAGGGCAAGGTTAACTATATTTTTGAGGTTATTGTTGCTTTTTTTATTACTCCTTGAAGAGCTTGAACTACATAAAACTGTAATGAAACTGAGAAAGGGAAATGAGACTTTTCTTTAGATTTCCTCCAAGTGGGAAGAAATGTGCTGTACCTTTATTAGTGTTGGGGTTATAATTAATTTGCAACAAGTGAGGAGTAAAGATTAAACAATATAATTACCTGGGAAAATATAAAATGACATATGTTTAAGAAGGAAAATAAAAATATTTATTATAAGATGATATATATTTTACCTAATTGATGAATCAGGAGAACAAAAAAATATAGTAAAAACAAATGAAAAAAATCTGATTCTTTAGAAAATGTTTTGCACAAAAGAATTTTTTTTTTTAAATCCTCATTCAAGGATATTTTTCCATTTATCTTCAGATAGAGTAGGAGCGGGAGAGAGACAGAGAAACATCTCTCTAACTGCTGAGCCAAACTAGCCAGAGCAAGAATTTTTTTTTATCTTCACCTGAGGACATTTTTTCATTGATTTTTTTAGATAAAGTAGAAGGGAGGGAGGGGGGGAGGGAGAGATAAACATCACAAGTATGTGCCTTGACCAGGAATCGAACCTGAGATCCTTCATTCTGAGGGCTGACACTTCAACCACTGAGCCAAACTGGCCAGGGCTGCACTAAATACTTTTTAAAATAGTAAGTCAATTAACAAAGTAATATGGTGGAGAAAAACAGAAAATACAAAATAGTAAGATGGAAGAAATTACTTCTACTTACCTTTAAATTTACCACTCCCTTTCCTCCTCCCCCTCTTCCTCCTCTTCCTTCTCCTGCTCCTCTTTGTTTTATGTTATTCCATAGTGTGTATATATCATGAATTTACACTGTCTCTTAATGATAAACATTTGAGTTTTCTCGAATCTTTCTTTCCTCTAGTGCTACACATGCAGGTTTATCTACAGACACATTTTTCACAAAAGTGGGATTTCTGGGTTAAAATCAATTACAGTGATACCTCGGTTCTCGAACGCCTCGGTTTTCGACCAAATGGAGATTCGAGAAACTTTTGTCTCGGAATCCGAACAAATATTTGGAACTCGAACTTCCGAGATGAGCCAAATGGCGTTCATTCGGCCCAGCGCGCCTTGCTTGCGTCATCAGTGTGAGTGCAGAGAGAGAGAGAGTCACGCTTTGTGGAGTCACGCTTTCCTATTGGTTTCATTGCTTCGGTTCTCGAACAATTCGGTTCTCGACCGTCCTCCTGGAACGAATTATGTTCGAGAACCGAGGTATCACTGTAATACAGTTTAAGACAACCCAGAGTTTGTTAGGCACATGATTGTCTTGGTTATCTAAACAGATTTCATGAACTACACAGAGGAAAAAAAAAAAGTATTTACTGGACAGAAAGTTTTTTGAGAACATGAAAAATGTACAGTATGTTTTATTAGTATTTTTAATATGTGCTATATGCTATATGGTTTTCGGCTATATAATGATTGCTGATTGGAGATGATAAACTTATTTTTATATAAAAAACAAATTCCATATCCTATTCACTTGACAATATTGCTTGAAAATATTTCATCTTTAATTAATCATTTTTTAAATTGAAAGTGTATTTTGTAGTTTCTTTTATCTTCTCACCCCAAATAGTTTATAAAACAACATTGAAATTTATTATATAGAATGGTACTTAATGCATATCTTTAGCTATTTCCAATGTCAGTTAAATATGAATTAGTTTTTTAAAAATGTGGATTCTTATATTTAGAATAAAACTTGGCAATATTTTATTAAAAGTTCCCAGTTTTTATAGAAGAAACTAGATTATTATGTGAATTGACTTATTTGTTAGTTCTCTTTCAACTCTGCAAATCTGCTTCCAGTATATCTTCTTGATAAACAGGTATTTAAAAGTGAGTTTCTTAAAAAAAAAATAGGCTGACATTTGACAACCCAGAGTGTGTTAGGAACATGATTACCCACAGATGGAAAATAGGGTGAGATAAGAAAAGCTTTCTGGAAGTTCTAACATTTATGCTAGACTGTGAAATTTTATTTGAGGAGATAGACAAGGTAACAATTACTTTTTGAGCTACAACTAATTATTAAAGCATTCCTTGCAGAACCACCAGGAAAATGGATTCATAGTTAACATGAACAAAGTCAAGTTCCCTGTACTTTGTGGAGGCAAATCTGAACCTTTCTCTCCTCATTTCAGAACTCATAATTCTCCACCACCAGCTAGTGCCTCCTAGATAGAGAAATGACTTGCCAAAACATGAAGGAAGAAAAATGATCTTGACAATAACCTTCATCTCTGTCTCAGTATATGTTTCAGTGCTAGTATGAGTGATAATAGAGGCTCTTAGTTGTTTTTTTTTTTTTTCTGAAACTTGCAGCTCTGTAATTATTGTATTTCATAAAAAATTCACTTGCTAGAGCTAGAAACATCTCAAATTTAGACTCAAGGAAATAAATAAATGTGATTAAATATGACCCAAATAAAGTTTTCAGGTTTGCATTAAACATTAAATTGTACCTTGTCTAATGTAAAGTGAAAACTCTTATTAAAATATCTGCACAAATCAAGTTTAGAATAAATGCCTATTAGAAAAGAGAGCGGACTTCCGGTTAAGATGGTGGCGTAGGTAAACACGGTATCGCGTCTTCCCACAACTACATCAAAGTTACAACTAAACTACAGCACAACCATCATTCAAAGCAGCCTGAAATCGAGCTGAATGGAAGTCCTACAACTACGAAATTCAAGAAGAAGCCACATCGAGACTGGTAGGAGGGGTGGAGGAGCGACGGGCTGGTCCCACACCCACGTGTGGCGGATAAAAATCAGGAGGACACCTCAGCTGGGAAGGTCCTCCCTGAGGACTGAGGGGTCCCCGTCCCACACCAGATGCCCTGCTCAGGGTTCCAGTGCCAGGAAAAGAAGTCCCTATAACTTCTGGCTGAAAAAATCAGCGGGAACTGAGGCTCAGGGAAGCTGAAGCAGCTGGAGCCCCTGGCAGCTTCTCTTTAAGGGCCCGTGCATGGACTTACGTAGACTTGATCCCTCTAAGTTCAGAGGGGAAGCAGCTTGAGGGGCGCCAGAGACATACAGGGAAGAACTGAGCTGTTTGACATTGGATCGAGGGCTGGAGAGGGGGCTTTCTCCTGTACAGACCTGCTGTCAGAGGCCTTTGTTTCTTTGGTGAGTCCTTCCCTGGGGCGTCAGACAGCCGCCATATCTGGGACTCCAGCCACCTGGATCACAATGTTTGCCCTGCCCTGGTTATTCCCTGATGCCCCGCCCCACCCAACTTTCAGGCCCACCCAAGCTGTTGCCAGTTGCTTAACCATAGGATTGGCCTGTCTTGGATCCTGCTTCAGGTTTTCCTAAATTCTTTCAAATAAGCAGCATATGGTCTCAGCTAGCCCCATACCTCTCGTTAAGTCATACACAGAAACAAACACAGGGAGGCAGCCAAAATGAGGAGACAAAGAAACAAGTCCCAAATGAAAGAACAGAACAAAACTCCAGGAAAAGAACTAAGCGTAATGGAGATAAGTAACCTAACAGATGTTGAGTTCAACACACTGCTAATAAGGATGCTCAATGAACTTAGTGAGAACCTCAGCGAACTTAGTGAGGGCCTCAAGAGCATAAAAAAGGACCAGTCAGAAATGAAGGACGCACAGTCAGAAATGAAGGAGGCACTAACTGAAATAAAGAATAATTTACACAGATTCAATAGCAGAGTAGGTAAAGCCAGGAAGCAAGCCATTGATTTGGAATATGAGGAAGCATAAAACACCCAATCAGAACAGCAAAAAAAAAAAAAAAGAATAATTAAAAAAAAATGAGGATAGTGTAAGGAACCTCTGGAACAACTTTAAGCATGCCAACATTCGCATCTTGGGGGTGCCAGAAGAAGAAGAGAGAGAACAAGAAGTCGAAAACCTATTTTAAACAATAATGGCAGAAAACTTCCCTAACTTGGTGAAGGAAACAGACATACAAGTCCAGGAAGCACAGAGAGTCCCAAACAAGGTGAACCCCAAGAGGCCCACACAAAGACACATCATCATAAAATGCAAAAGGTTCAAGACAAAGAGACAATCTTACGAACAGCAAGAGCAAAGCAGTTAGTTACCTACAAGGGAGTTCCCATAAGACTGTCAGCTGATTTCTCAAAAGAAACTTTGCAGGCCAGAAGGGAGTGACAAGAAATATTCAGAGCGATGAAAAGCAAGAACCTACAACCAAGATTACTCTATCCTGCAAAGCTGTCATTCAGAATCGATGGCCATATAGTTTCCCAGACAAGGAAAAGCTAAAGGAGTTCATCACCACCAAACCATTATTATATGAAATGTTGAAGGGTTTTCTTGAAGAAAACGATAAAAAATATGAACAAACAAAATGCCAATGAATACATATCTATCGACAATTGAACCTACGAACAAAATGAACAAGCAGAACAGAAACATTCTTATAGATACAGAGAACATTTTGTTGATTGCCAGATGGGAGGGGGGTTAGGGGAATGGGTGAAAAAGGTGAAGGGATTAAGAAGTACAAATTGGTTGCTAGTCTGACAATCCTCAAAGGGAAGGGGGGTTGAGGGAGTGAGAAGAAATAAACCAAAAAACTTATATGCATATATGCATAACCAATGAACACAGACAGCAGTGTGGGGAAAGGCAAGATGGGGGTGGGAGTGGGGAGGAGGGGGTCAATGGGGGGAAAATGAGGAACATCTGTAATACAGTCAACAATAAAGATAAGTTTAAAAAAAAAAAAGGGAGAGCATTTACTGACATTTTTCACAGAGCATGCTTTGGCATGCTAACACGGTTCACACATTGAATTATAATATATGTAATTATTTACATTATTTTTCCCAAAGAGACTTATCGTGTTAGATTTGAGTTAAACACCATGCAATTGAACATTACAAGTTATAACAGCATCCGGGTGCTTAGAGCATTAAATCAAATCAATGTTCCATAAATTAAATTACAAAGCTATTATTTTTGTCATTTATATGTTTGTAATTGATTTATTTATCCATTTATAAATTATGAAGTTTTATTTATTATGATATACATATATAGTTGTATGTAAAACAATATGTCGTATATAATGCATACGGTTTTTTTTGAAGATATCCTTTTGTACTTACACTTAATACCCAAGAAAATGGAGGCTGTTAATGAGCCCACGCAGAAAATACATGATATTACCATCACTGCACACCATGCTCCTAAACAAGGAATCAGGACAATAAAATTGAGTTAGAAAAAGTAGGTGAAAATGGTGGGCCAGGATAAGACTAGACTGAGGGAAAAAAGGAATTAACCTTAGGCATTTCAACCACAGACTTGTTGACACCATGTAACTGTAACAATAAAAAGAGAACGCCAACCCTTTGATATGCAATTTATAACCTGAAACACATTTGATGGCAAAAATGTCAAATTGAACAGGTTTAATACATACTTCTTTTACCCTTACATGATGCACAGCCTTACTAACTAGTTTTATGTATTCTTTTCCAAATATTTTAGAGATTGTAGCAAGTCAGGCAGCAAGCTTAAATTTGTTTTTGTTGTTGTTGTTAATCTTCACCTTCGGATATTTTTTCATTGATTTTTAGATAGAGTGGAAAAAAGGGTGGGAGAGAGGGAGAAACATCAATGTGAGAGAGACACACCAATTGGCTACCTTCAGCACAACCCTGACCGGGGTGGGGGAATCAAACCCGCAACCCAGGTACATGCCCTTGATTGGGAATCGAACCCATAACCCTTTGTCTTGGGCCAACTCTCTAAGCCAGACCAGCCAGGGCAAGCTTTAATTTTTGAAAACAAAATACTGTGTTGTATCTCCTCATCTCTTCTCAGTGTCACTTTAACATAATAGGTTCAAAGATATTTCTTTTTAAACATATAGTTTGGGATGAGGAATATTTTTTTCCTGGCAATTTTGCAATTATTCAGTAAGAAAAAAATGAAGATTGTGTAACTGGTTGTATTCTTAATACTAATCAGAGAAAAATAGATACAATGTGTCTTTGGATAATTTGGTAAAGTGAATAATGTACCTGCTCAAGATACACATGTCCTGATCCCTAGAACCTGTAAATGTCACCTAATGTAGCAAAAGAGGTTTTTAAGATGCAATGAAATTAATGATTCTAGCATGGAGAGATTATTCTGTTCTTCTGTCTAGGCTCTTATGAATGAGAGGTAGGAGATCAGAGGGACGTAGTGCAATATGATGGCAAAAGCAGACCTGATGCTGCTGGCCTTGAAGACCGAGGAGAAGTCGTGAGCCATGGAACGTAAGAAATGCAGCTCTAGAAACTGGGAAACACAAGGGAGTGGATTCTCCTGTAGAGCCTCGGAGAGGGAATGCAGCCCGGCCAGTACCTTGACCCAGTAAGATCCGTTTCAGACTTCTGGTCTCTAGATCTGTAAGATAATAAACTTGTGTTGTGCTAAGCCCTTGAGTCTGTGTTTATTTGTTACCCCAACAGTAGGAAACTAATACAAAGATTGACCTTAATAAAGACAGAAATGATTGCTATAGCATACAGCTTCAGGCTGATGAGATGGTGTCAGTTTTTCAATGTCTGTTTTCTCTTTATTTCTTAATATTTATCAGACAATTTGTGAAGGACTGTTTTTGTTGTTGTTAATCCTCACTGACGATATTTTTCCTTTGATTTTTTAGATAGAGTGGGAGGGAGGGAGGGAAAAAAAGAGAGAAAGATGTGAGAGAGACACATCCATTGTTTGCCTACTGAACCACCCCAACCAGGACTAGGCACTGAACCTGCAACCCAGGTATGTGCCCTTGACTGGAAATCAAACGCACCACCCTTTGGTCTATGGTCCAATGCTCTACTGCTGAGCCAAACCGGCCAGCGTGTGAAGGAGTGTTTTATAGAGAAATTGAAATAATTTTTAAAAATTATTTTTTCACTTACTTTTCAAATCCAGGAATTCTTTGTCTGAGAGAGAGAGAGAGAGAGAGAGAGAGAGAGAGAGAGAGAGAGAAAGAGAGAGACTACATATTTGTCAAGTCCATTGCTCTTTTCCTTTTCATCCTTACTTACTCCTCCTACCCTTTATTTAATTTTTTAATGCTAGTGTATCCTGAACAATATCATACTCTAAAGTGGTTTACTTCATTAGAAAAATCACCTGGGTTCAATATGTAATACGAAACAAAACATAAACTGCAAAGTCTTGGACCAAATAATTAGACTGGTTACCTGAACATTTGGTGGAAGACAGATGTTTCTGGCAAGAGTTTGGTGTTGGAGTATCCCACTGAAGGGAAGTATAGATTTCTTCATCCTGCATGTCTGAGGTGCTCTGAGAGCTGAGACTGTTCTCACAAAACGCTGAGACAAGGAACTCCTTTTGTAGTCAGGAGTAGATTGTTGAAAGAACTGAAATTGGCTGTTCACACACCAGTGGGAAAATATGCTAAGGTTTAAGGAATAGAATAAATGCATCTTCATCCAGAAAGTAGAAGTTTATGAAGTTTAAGCCAAAGCACAACTTGCTAAAGAAGGAAATGAGAAAGGAACTGAACTCAAATGACCTGTAATAGAATATGTTTTTGGTCTGGTTTCTAAGATGTAGAAGATGTTATGGTAATAGCACTAGATTACTGTTAAAATGAAGAGAAGTGTTTAAAAAAATGCACTTGTATTTGGCATAGGACACAGAGCATGGGGATGACCTAGATAGCAAAGATAGCTCATGTTGGGCAAATCAGGGTGTAAGGAGTCATCAATCACTGTGTACCTTTAAATAAGAAAGCTAGGAAGGGATTGCATCTCTAGAGTAAATTTACACATTGTATTAGTTAGGCTAATGCACTTGCTGTGACCAGTAAATCTCAAAATATCAGTTGTTTAACACAGTAAAAGTTTATTTCTTGCACACATAGCATTCTAGCTCCAGTAATCCTGGCTACTGGGTAGTTTTCATCCAAATGGAACCCAGACATCTTCTATCTTGTGAGACATTCAAGTCCTCCACTTCTAGCCATTGGAAAGGACAAGGGAAGATGGCAAATCCACATCTGGAGTAACGTACCCCTCTGTGTGCACTGAGGGAATGCCCATGTTTGGATCTAAAGGTTGGGCGTGATAAATGTAACTAACTTTTGCCTGGCTGGAAAACTTTCTATGCCAACTTCATTGTAGAAGGGAAGCATGAATTATTTAGTAGATAGATGGCCCTTTCTGCCACATCCTGACTACTGCAATGGTATTGAGAAATTTGATACTTTAATTGTTATTGGTCTTTTGTCCTTATGGTCAAAGATCCTATCTCAGTAATTTACAGTCTGCAAACCCCAACAGTCTGCAAAATTGCAATGTTTTCTTTTGTTTCTGCATTTCAATGGATCGATCACTTGTCTTTGCTAGAGAAGGAAGCAAATGGCACTCAAGGGCAATTCATAAAGATACTGTTTATAAGGTTTTGGTAAAAATTAAAGGAAGCAAAAGGGGGGTGATATATGCTTTGGGGAGCTGTTACTACCCTTATGCTTGAAGGGTCAAGAGAAGGGTGCTTAATGGAATTTTGTGACCTGATGGAGGTCATGGCCAACATTTGTCAAACCAAGGCATGGTAGGGAGAGAGCCAGGGGAATACATACCCTGACCATTCTCTCCTTTCACCCTGTGATCACGGCTCGCATCTCCCTGTAGCTGAATTAACTGGGAACCAGAGGCCAAGTCTTCCCAGAGGATGCTCTTCATTTGGGTTCTGCCTCGCAAGGCACGGGGGTGGGGTGGTGGGGTGGTGGAGGGCAGGGGGTGGATAAGAAGATCTCAAGATGCAAATGAAGAACATCCAAAAAATTCTCCAAGTATTTTATACAATTTTCATGTGACCTGAGATTTTGATCTGAAAAATAATGTGACTTAATGAAATGATTTCTATTTTCAGGAGAAAAAAGAAGAAACCACAAGCATACCAAATGTACATTAAGACTAATATCAGGAACGTAGTTCAAAGTGTTGCCCTTAATTTTCAGATTCTTTTAAATTTTATCAGCACTGAATATCAGGTTCAAAAAGATCTAGTTTTGTCAAATACAGTATATTCTCTAATAAATTACTTTGGGAACTATTAGGCTCCCCTAATAGAAGATTATGTTATTTGTTTTACATTTGATGTTTTTAATCATACTACCTCTTATTTATTATTTATTATATTTCTAGTACTGTTTCCAAGGACTTTGACATGAATTATTTTGCTCATCACAACAACTCTATGAAATGAGTACTACTATTAGTGTATTATAACTTAGCTGTAAATGAGACACAGAGAAATCATTTACCGAAGTTTACCTATGTAGTAAGTGCAAGAATTAGTATTTAAACCAGGTGATCTAATCATAGTACCTGTGCTATTAAAATCTGTGCTATTTTGATCTCATGTTCAAAATGCTTTTGATGTGAGTACCAAAAAAGGCAATTCTCGTAAACACAGTTTAATTGGCTACATTTGTAATTGTATTTTTGCCGTGGACTAATATATCATTCTTTGAAATTGTGTTGTGCCATAGATACTTTTCCATTTATCTTAAGATAGAGTGGGAGGGGCGAGAGAGAGAGAGAGAGAGAGAGAGAGAGAGAGAGAGAGAGAGAAGGACACATTGATAGGAGAGAGACACGTGGATTGGTTGCCTCCTATACGACCTCAACCAGAGCTATGACCAATCAAGGTTCGTGCCCTTGACCAGAATTGAACCCGTAACTCTTTGGTACATGAGTTGATGCTCTAACCACTGAGCAAACCAGCCAGGGCTCTCCTTAGCTTTTCAACTGAGTACCATAACTTTTTGTATTTGAATTTCTAGTGTTTTCACAAACATCTTAGTTAAGATGTTTGAGAATCATGTTTATAAATTTTATTAGCACTAACTTAAGAAGAAAGTGTACCTTGAGCAAAGCTGCGGCAAGGAAATGCAATGTTGGCCTGTTATCCTGTAAAGGGTGCCTCTCCACATGTCTATAAATATTTCATGAGTTACTCAGCAAAAACTAAGCATAGAGCTGCCAGGAAAAGAACTAGATAAAATATTTTTACTTGGTGGTCTGTCTCCTAGCCTATGGCCTTGTTAAGAAGCATTTATTCATTTTTAAATCCCATCAGGTTTCTTGCAAAGTATATTTTCCTTCTTTGCACAGAAAATTACTGCTGTTGAATCTTACAAGAGGTAGAATTGGAATAGAACTTTGTACAGTGTTTTACTGATTGTAGTGTTTTGTAATGAACTGTCTCACACAATGAGAAGTCAGTATTTTTTTCTGTTTCTTGTGAGGCAGAAGCTGTGTTTGGTGCTGGGCATAGAATAGCAAATAGGAAAGTTGTGGTGTCTGCCTTCATGAAGTTCCTGATGTAGTTAATACTCTGAAGTTTTATTTTATGTTGTAGAACTGTGAGGTATATAAGCCAGGTATTATTCTATTTTAAATATAAGAAAATGAAAGTTGAGGCTACATGACTGGCCCATGGTTGCACTTTACATAAGTGATCACACAATAAAATTATTCTACTGATTCCAAGATTCATATTCTATCTACTACTTTATGTTGTCTTTGAAAGTTAGGTATTTTATATAGTTTCAAACTTAAATATTTTGCACAGCTTAAGTCAACTAAGCCCTAACCTTTCTTGTTCTAATTTGAAATGTATGTATTTATGTCTGAAGATGCAGTGAATTATAAAATGTAGAGATAATTAGGAATGGAAGACAAGAAGAAAGAAAATTAATAAAAAAAGAACAATTGGGAAACAATCAACTCACAGACTAGCTTCTGGATGTATAAAGAAGGGACTACGGTATCCCTTAGTATAAAGGGACATATAAAGAGAGCACTGAGCGGTGTTGGTATAAACAGAATGTAAAGATGAGTCCAAGGGGGTTAAAGGGAAAAATAAGCAATTTTATGTCCTGTGATTCTTTCATCCAGAGCATTTATTATATAATTCAGCATTTATCAGTGACATCCTTCCCATCTCTTAGCATTAAACTACTGTGGCCACCTTTGCCATACCTTCCTTTTTCTCACACATTAAATAATGTTTGTTCTCACAAAAGGTAGGGTGAATTTTTCCATTATGAAAATAAGCACAATTCATATTTTCTCTTGCATTTTCAGAAAGCTCAGTCCTGTGAATGAAAAAGGTAAACATGAGTTCCTTTGAAAACCAAACAATCAGCAATCAAACTCTGTGTACAATTTTGTTACATAAAGTGGAGACAAAATTATGGGGAAAAGAAAGTTAACATCATTCAGATTTCTAAGAGACTCCCTATCTGCTTGAGAGTATCAAGTATGTACATTGGTAGGGCTCAGTAGTAATTTAAGGTAGAACAAGATTAAGCAGCAAGTGAACATTAGGTACAATGATAGCCCAAAGGAAGAGATGGATGGGAATCTGAATGATTGGAAAGACTTTTTCTTTTTATCTTTTTTTTAATCCTCACTCGAGGATATTTTTTCATTTATTTTCAGATAGAGTGGGAAAGAAGGAGGGAGGGAGGGAGAAAGAGAGAGAGAGAAACTTCAATGTGAGAGAGACACATCGATTGGTTGCCTCCAGCAAGACCCTGACTAGGGCCGGGGATGAACCAAAACCGCGGTAAATGCCCTTGACCGGAATTGAACCTGAGACTCTGGTCTGCAGGCTGATGCTCCAACCGCTGAGCCAAACCAGCCAGAGCTCTTTTTATATTTTTATAGAAGATAATACTTTAGTTTTATCTAAAACTAAGGGTAGTTTTAGAAGGGTAGGATTTAGATGAGCAGAGAGGAGATAGGGTACCTCATGGGGCACAGGGTGGAAATGAGCTCATGGAAAAGTAAGTTGATTGAATATTTTTGAAATAAAGGTTTATGTTATAAGTAGCAGATATAAGACAGTACACTATATTGTAGCTGCCTGTCAACTTGTTCATATTCTCTGCCACACTGCTTATGACAAGAGGACAGAAAATGTATATTTATTAATTCATTTGCCAAATATCTGAGATGCCTACTATATGTGCCAATGTTATTTTCTGTGGTGATGATAGAGTGGTTAAGAAAGATAAGGTCCTGTCTTCTGGGGAACTTACATTATTGCTACTGGATACTGATTTGTTGAAAGAACAGAGAGAACACCAGTTTGCTTGCAATATTGTGAACAAGGCAAGTGATAGGAGATAAAGCCCAAGGTCTGTGAAAAGGCTTGCTTGTAGTTGAAATATCTTTGTCTCCTACTCATCATAAATACTTAATAAATATTTGCAAATTAATTACTTAAACATGCAAGCAATAATCATATTGTATAAATTTTAATTAATTGGTTCAACTTTTAATGGGAGAGACGTTGTGGTCTTGATATACAAGATGAACAAAGGGTATTGAGACTGAAGATTGGAAAGCCACATTCAATAACAACGTAATTGTCTCCTTTGCCTGGATTATTTGTAGAAAGAGGGAGGCTTTTGACATGGACATCAGAACCACCTTGTGGATGATGTTGTGCCTGATTCATGGAGACCCCTAAGGTAGAAGAGTAGGTAAATGCTACAAAAAAGTCAAAAGAATCGTGAATAACTTTCAACCATCAAATAATAAGGATAATTTTGTTCTACAATCTGCAAAGAGAATTCGATTAATCTAAAAAGAAAGACATAAAATGCTCTTATAGTAAAGTAGTCAGTAGAAACGAGTGAGGAAAAATATTGGGAATAGAGGTGGGCTGTGACTTATGGCAGAAGACAAAAAGTGTTCTGTTAGGGTGAGGATGTGAGTTACTCAGCTTCAGAGCCCACAGTAGGATACAGAGCTACCTCCCAGCTTTTAAGTAACTTGCATTCAAGAAGATAGAGTATCTCGGAAGTAAAAATTGCTAGGTGTGCCTTGTGTCCAGTGACTTACATATTTTTGAAGGGAGCTGAGCCATCTTCCCACTTCCAGACTGGACTGGAGTTCTTGCGGGACAATCCAACCCAACGAATTAATGCAGTCCTGGATTTGATGTATTCCTGTTGCAAACCCAGATAAAAATAACGGTCAGAACATTTACACATTTCTTTAAAGACACAAAGACAAAGCTTCACTATAAGACCCTGGACCAAAAACAAACAAAGAAAACAGATTATATGTCTATGCTAATATCAATGAATTATATTGATATTTAGAATTGTACCAAGTCCGCTTGTTTTAGCACAAAAAGTACTCAGTAAGAAAATATTGTAATTTTTACTGAGCTTGATAAGGTTCTCAGATTAGCATAAACTAGAAGGCATGAGAAAATCTTTTTAAATGGTAAAATGTTTCACTTCAGATTTTTCTCCTCATGGTTTCAAAATATTTGACTTGGGGATCTCCTTACGAGAATCTTCTGGTTGGCAATCTTCAGTAGAGTCGCGTTCAGGTTGGTGCAGTACCTCTTGCTCTCTTCCCAGGTCAAGTTGTGCCTGAAGAATCCATAGCAACTACCTTCAAAATTTCTCCAATTTTTGTCACAAGGGCTACCCTTCTGGCCTTAAGGAGAAATCAAGCATAGCAGGTCTTTTAGTCTAAATAGGACTCTCTTTTTCCCTAAATTCAATGTTTCCTACAGATCTCAAAATTTCCCACAGATAGCATCAAGGAAATACTTCAGGGGTAGGGGAGATAAAGTTACCAAATCATACTTACTGAGATTGTCCTTTTTTTCTGATGGTTTTATTAAATCTTGGCAGTACTGGTTTGTTAATAATTGTTGCAGAATTCCCGAGAGATTTTTATTCTCGATTTGTAGGTAGTTATGCTGCTTGACAGCTACGTGTAAAAATTAGTTAATGATTTGTAATGAGGATCATAAAGATAATGCGAAGACCTTTCTGTAAACCAATTTCATTAGGACTATCATTCTATGCAAGTGCTTACTAGATCAGCAATTTTCAACCCTTTTCATTTCATGGCATACATAAACTAATGACTAAAATTCAGAGGCACACAAAAATATTTTTTGCCCATCTGACAAAAAAAAATGGGAATAATTTTTATTCATTCACACTGGATGGCTATTGTTGTATTGGCTGTCGTCATTTTTTACTTTGGCGATCTAAAGGAAAAGAGGTTAATGCCCCTAAATAGACAGATATTACATGTTTTAAACATTCTTGGGGCACTTGGGGTGAAAATCGTTATACTAGATACACATGAATAAATGAGTGCTGAAGGCCATCAGGATAAAGGGGGTGATAAAGAACAAATTAAGAACTAAGCAAAGCTGACAGTTGAGGGCTATCCGAAAGAAGAAATGAACTTTTTAAAGGAGATAATCACAAGTAAGAAAATGCCATCAACAAACTGCATCCACAGCTGTTGTTTCAAAGATTTCTTTAAATTATTTTAAAAATACATATTGATTTTTGTTATGCTGGAAGTACTGGGATATTCAGGTAAATAAAAATGGTGAATGAAATATTAGAAAATGTCTTATGAAAAATAAACAGGAACACAAAAAATAACGACTACACAGATGTTAATATGACATTGGAGGGCTTTTAGATTTATAGGGGAAGTATTTATAAATTAGGTGGAATATGAATGCTCTCTTAGCGGAAGTAAATACATTCATTAAACAAAATGGGAAGGAGGACATTTTAGGAAGAGGTAATATAATAAGCAAAACCTTAGGCAAAGGGACAGTATTTATTTGTGAAACTGAGAAAACTCCATGTTGACTAGATCTCAAGATATGCAGGATAGTGAGAACAAATTTTCCAAAGATAGTGTGGAAACATGCTGGGGAGAAACTTAAGAACCAGTCTAAAATTCTTGAAAATAATTTTTAATTAATACAAAATTTAAAAGGTGATTTTAATCTGGAGAGAAAGCTCAGAGTTCCCCTTTAACGAGAATATCCTGACAGCTATGTATAGGATGATTTGAGTAGTAACAAATGGACAAATCCCGACAAGCTTAGGTATCGCCTTTCTCAGATGTAGTCTTTAGCAATGAGGCAACACTTACACATAATCCCCAGAGTCACGAGTCCAACAACCGACCCGATGCACAAGACCAGCAGAATCAAAGCCATCACACGCCACAGTGATGAGGGAGCAGGGTCATCTGTGGAAATGCAATGAAAATGCCAGGAAACAGGTGGTGTGACATAGTCATGGGGCAGCGACACTCCTGGCCCTGCCTACTTAGAATTTTTGGAATGATGTAAACAGCATCTCTGGCAGATTCTGCCAGTGTTCCCCTGGTGACCATCAGCAGGATGCACAACCCACTCCCACTCCACACATCCACTCCCACCCTCAGAGGACTTCTCTCTGAGTCAAAATATAACTTAAAATCTTGTGTGTTTGTCTTTGTTTTGTTTTGTGGTCATTCACATAAATAACTGCTTTAATAAACAAGACCTAGAGAATCACACCCATTTGCTGACATTTTAAAAACTGGGGTTTCTAGTCCCTTTGGCATTGAACTCTATAAGCTTAAAGTAGTGTTTGCCGGTATCTTTTCTTGTTTGCATTGCAAACAAGTCTGTGTGAGCCTATGTAGATACTATTCAAATGCTATAGAAAAATAGGACAATTCAGGAAAATAAAACTATATGTGCTATACTAGTTAAAAAAAAAGAAAAAGAAAAAGAAAAAGAAACTAGAGTTGATTCATCTATGTAATTAATTTTTAAATTGCTGGCTTTGGGCATTCTTACCTGAGGTGATAGCTGGTTTGCGAGTTTTAACATTTAATATGACGTATCCGTCTTCATCCTGCATGGCTTTCTTTGCACTGCAAGTGAGCTCAGGGTCCAATGACTTTGCAAAATGTTGTGTCCACTTTTATGATTTCTGTGTCTGTCGGTTTGTGATCCTCCTCTCTCTTGTAAGGTGGAGCCCTGAGTTGGGGGCATGTGTTTTTTTTTTTTCTTTGTTTTTTCTTTTTCTTTCCAGGAAACTCTTTCATAACTACTTAGAAGGATATGAACCTTAAATATAAAAACACAAAAATAATAATAACTTGTGGAAAGAAGTAGATAACAACATTTGCTTGTTGCTTCCTTATCTTCAACTCTAAATGAAGGGATATCCTATCATGTGTACCCTTTCAAAGAACAAAGGTTCATGCTTGATCTTAACCCCAACAGAGTCTGAATCACATTGTTTAAATAAACTAATTTCTGATGATAATGCAGGGGAAAAACTCCGATATATAGTCTCCCTCGTGAGGAGGAAAACTAATATCATTTGGTCTAATACCAGCTAAATTAGATGTTTCATGGTCTTATGTCAGAAGAGACCATTCCTAATTATGACCTAAAATTCAACCAAATAAGTCAAATTATTCAGGAATTCAAGGACTCCACATGAGGCTTAGGATTAGGCATCAAAGAAAAACATCAAATAAAGTGAAATAACGCAGAGTTAGTGACTTGACATGTTACCTTTTGGTAATGTTTGCACTTTCAAGTGAATTTCCAGGAATGGAAAATTCCTAATTCAATAAAATCATGTAATTTCAGGTGCTATACTTGAAGAGCTTTTTTTTTTTTTTTTTTTTTTTAGAAGAAATCATTTTCTAATGTCCTTTATATCACAACATAATATTTATTCCACACATTTAACTTTATAAGATGGATTTTTAATTGTCATTTTAGCTTATATTGAAAGTCTAAGAACAGCCATAGAAAGCTAGCTGCTGTACTTACAGTAGAAGTATTGGCGAGGGTGCTATCTACTTTGTCATTAGGGGACTTGTAAATTTTTGCTAAAATTTCAGGGCCAGAAAACTTCCTTTCTTAAGTGACAGAGAGAAGAGTGTGGAGGTTATGGTTCAAATAGCACCTTTTCAATAAAACCTGACTGTTCTCTTCGTAGCCATGTAGGTAACTTCTAAAAATTTATAGTTATAGTAAATCAAATGTGTAAATGGAAAATTAGTGGACATTTGGAAGAACTTATAATTATTTTAAATATTTTCTTGTTCAATTAACAGAAAATTTAAGAAGGTATGAAATTTGTTTTGTTGGTGTTTCCGTATTCTCTAGGTCTTGGGTAATTGGTTTAATTATAAAAATATGCCATTTATTTCTTTTGTAAACTACCATGAATGTGCTGGTCTTGCATCTTAATCCATGAATTCTTCTTTATTTATTTTTATCCTCGCCCGAGGACATTTTTCCATTTTTTTGTTCAGATAGAGTGGGAGGGAGAGAGAGGAAGAAAGAGAGAGAAACATCGACGTGAAAGGGACACATCGAGTGGCTGCCACCGGCACGACCAACCAGGGCAACCAAGGTATGTGCCCTTAGGGGGAAACCAAACCCGGGTCTCTCTGGACCACAGGCCAATGCTCTAACCACTGAGCCAAATCAGAGAGGGCGATCCATGAATTCTTAAAACTGTTTATTTAACACCAGAAATAGGTAAAGCAGAAATGGGTAACACCAAGCCTCTGATGACACTCATTTGCTATATTTCAGCTTCTGGATTGCAATGCTTTTTTGGGAGGGGACCGGTTGATAACTCTAGTCACAGAATGAGGGTCTTATATCTAGATTTATTTTTCATAAAAATATATTTGCCTTCATTTGTATTCCCCAAGCATGTCTTTGTCGTATTAAATATGTGCTAGTTGAGTACAGAGACTCTCAGGGCCAAAGGAGCTCATTGTAACATTTAGTCTTAATTCTGCTTTCTCCCTATACATATCCTATACATGCAAGCTGAGTTACCCAGCAACAATTAATCAGAGAACTGCAGGAAAAACAGAGAGATATGACAAATGCTTTCCCCCCTTTTCCAAAACCTAAGGCTTTGCTAGATATCTCTTAATCAACACTACAAGGCATGTTGTTGACATATTTTATTTTTGTGTGTATATTCTACTGCTCCCTCTTTTCATAGTTCAAGAAACTAAAACACACACACACACACACACACACCCTGAAAAAATAGTTCTTTATTCCAAACAGACTTATGACTATGAATTTGAAATTAAAACCTTTACTTGTTTAGTATTTTAGAGATTAAGAGGCACTTTAACATAATATTTCTCTTTTATTTTAAAGCAACTATTTAAGTAATGTTCATTTTATTTTAGACACAAAAATTGGTGGCAAATATTCATGTAGACAGTCATAGCACTGGTTCTAATGGAGCATAAAAATCTTAGATTTTTGTTATCTAACCTTTATTTTTCATTATTTAAAACAACTTACCTCATCTCACCACAACCAGCCCACAGTCTCATCCCTCTTCCTTGCTTTACTCTTTTCTGTAGCACTTATAACTATCTGACACACAGAGTTTTCCTAGATACTTAAATTTTCATAATTTATCCCCTCAATAGTGTATTCCATGACTCTAAAATAGTGACTGACATACAGTTGCTGTCTAATAGATATTGGTGAATGAATGAAAACATACATACATGTAAATGAGCATTTTCATTCTACATGTAAAAATAGAATTTTAAGAATCTTGCGGCTTTTCTATTATCACATTTCTTGTAGAAAGTAGTACCATCTACCTCCAAGTTCTTTCCACTACAGTATGATGTCATTGTCTGGACTCTATTATCTATATTGATAGCTGAAGAATGAGTAAAAGGCACTAGGATCACAATTACAAGTTATAGATGCAATAAGAAAGGAAATTAGTGGAATGCATACCATTGTGGATAAGACTGATCAACATATAATGATGGTCAGTAGATGTGTAAAAGAGAAAGACAGAAAGAAAATGTTGACTACTGTGAATGCTATAATAGTATCTTTAAACTGAAAAACATAAAGGAACTGAGTATTTTGCAGTTGGTGATATCTTTTTGTAGACTTTTTAATGTACATCACCTTTAAGCTAATCCTTCAGTGCATTTATTGGTAATATCCTGTTCCCTCTCTCAGTCTTCTGCATTAAAATTGTTAGTTCACCTCTTACTTACTAACCTCTTACACAAATTAAATACTGTTTATTTCTTGAAAAAAGCTAGGATTTTCTGTTATGAGAGCCAGGAGTGGAATCAAACAGTCTGTCCTTATAACCCTTTATTTTAAGCAGGACATTTTATTAATCTGATTGGATGAATATACATTTTAAGATAAATTCCATCCTATACTCATCCTCTGGCTCCTCCTTGTGGCCAGTTTTTCTCTTTTTTGCTTTTATCTTTATTTTCTTTAGGTCTTTGATGACTCCAAAGTTAATTTTCATTTTTCTTCATCCCTTCTCATGAATAATTTTTTTTTGGAGAAGAATTTTAAGAATCAGTTCTGTCAAATGCTGCTTGTAGGTTAAGGTGAATCTTGAGAAACAACCTTTGGATGTGTTACTATGAAGGCTAATGGTGACTGGGACAGAAGCATTTTTATAGAATAGTGAGGGGAAAAGTGGGTCCAGGAAAAGCAGGAAGAGATAGCAGGCAGAGAGAGTTCTTTAACCCTTTTGTTGTTAAGAGAATTCAAGAAATAAGGTGATATGTGTACAAGTGTGTGAGGGGTTGAACAGGACATTTTTTTTTGCTTATTTTAAAAATAAAATATATTATATCACATATTTTAGTAAAGTAAGGTGAGTGAACCAGCAGGAAAAAAATTAATGATTCCAGAGACAGAAAGAGAGAGAAAATTACAAGGTAAAAGTCTTTGAGTAGGTAGATGGAATGGGTTCCAGTGTATGGACGGAATAAAGCATAGATGAGGGTTTGCACAATTTAACCATGGAAAATAGTTGAAAATAATATTGCCATGCATACAGAAGTAATTTTTTATTTTTAATTCTCAGTCGAGGATACTTTTTCTGTATTTATCTTCAGATAGAATGGGAAGGGGGAGAGAGAGAAAGAAAGAGAGATAGAGATAGAGATAGAGATAGAGATGATAGAGATAGATGGTAGAGGTAAAGGTAGAGAGGTAAAGGTAGAGGTAGAGGTAGAGGTAGAGGTAGAGGTAGAGATAGAGATAGAGATAGAGATAGAGATAGAGATAGAGATAGAGATAGAGATAGAGAGAGACATTGACTGGCTGCCCTCTGCACGACCCCGGCCAGGGCCAGGGACCAACCACAACCGAGATACGTGCCCTTGACCAGAATCAAACATGAGACTCATTGGTCCGTGGGTTGACACTCTAACCACTGAGCCAAACCAGCTAGGGCCAGATGTACATTTTTTGTATATTTGGCCAGTGAAACAGAAAATGCTCTTCTGATTGTTTTTATTTTTTTCAAGATAATAGAAAACCAGATCACTCACTGAGTTTGAGGAAGGAAAGAAATTTGAGAGCTGAGAAAAGAAGAGAAAGTGGGAATAATCTTCTAGGAGATCACCAGGATAGACTGATCAGTAAGAGGGCTGGGAAGTTAATTTAAAAATATAAAATAAGGTCAGTTAATACAATCCCATTCAGCTACTTGTAGAGTTGGATTTAACCAGGCTGCATTTTTCAGATGTGTATCATGGAGGAAGAGATAAGCAATGAAGTTATAGCTTTAAGTAGGAAAATGATTATTATAATTGACCCTGGTGAATGGTCTAAGCCAGGTAAATTAGGAAGTACAGCATGAGGGATTTATAATATTAAAAAGATGACATGGTAATTACATTTGATATCTTAGTGGGCACAAAAGCCCGGTAGGTTATAGAATCACTATAAAAATTAGGCTAGAAAGATAAGAGTTGAAGTTAGAGAGTGAAATATATGAAACCGAGGTAACAGAGGAGGAACTTCTGATAGTAAAATTGTCTCAACCCTAGTGCAGTCTGTGGAACAGAATTTTCCATGACGATGGAGACATTGTATACTTGTGCTGTGCTGGTCCACAGCCAATAGCCACCTGTGGCTATGGAGCACATGAGGTATGACTATTATGACTAAGAAATGTATTTTTAATATTAATTAATTATAGTTTAAATAGTCACATGTGACCCTGGCTGGTTTGGCTCAGCTATTAGTCGGTCCATGGACAAAAGAGTCCCGGGTTCGGTTCCCATTAAGGGCACATACCTCGGTTGTAGTTTGTCCCCGTCTGTGGTTGGGGTCCTGTGGGTGACAACCACTCGATGTGTCTCTCTCACATTGATGTTTCTCTCTCTCTCTTCCTCCCTCTCTCCCTCCCATTCTATCTGAAAAACAAATAAATAGTCACATGTGGCTAGAAACTACAATATTGGAAAGCTTTAAAGTGTGATCACCATAGTAGATGGTTGATTTATGAATGTGGTCAAGGTTCTGGGAGCAATATCCAGGAACTGACAGCCAAAGGTATTGAAAGTATCACCTTGTTAAATTCTCACCATGTTGAAATCACTGATAATCATGACAGAAGTAGAGATGAACAAGGAGATTTAAGACAGTTAAAAAATGGTAAAAGAAAAATGTCCTAGAATTTGGGAGATGTCTGCAACAAGGTGTGCAATTTGATAGTGTAATCTGATCAAATGAGCTACAGAGATTCTGGAAGTTTTTAAGGAAGAACAGTATAGACTGCACTTTCTAAATCAATAAAATTATAAATAAATAATAGGTAATATAGTCTTTTAGGATAACAATAGTGGAAAGTGTATAGAAAGTGTGATCAATTTTCTCTTCCTTAGAGAAATAATTAGGAACCAGGTGAGATTCTTCATTATTGTTTAACTCAAGTATTATAATTATTATTTAAAAAAAATTTTTTTCTTTATTGATTTTAGAGAGAAAGGAAGTGAGAGGGAGAGAGAGATAGAAACATCGATGAGAGAGAACATCTATTGGCCGCCTCCCGCATGCCCCCCACTGGGCATCAGGCCCACAACCTGGGCATGTGCCCTGACTGGGAATTGAACCAGCGACCTCTTGGTGCATGGGTCAATGTTCACTGAGCCACACCGGCCGGACTCAAGTATTATTTCACATAAAATAGTAAGAGGTTAAATACTTTCTTAGGGAACTTCAAGGTATGTGAAAGAGTCAGGGAAATAGCAATACAAATGCAGTCTTTGCAAACCTTAGTGAAAGTGAAAAACCAGAACAGAAACTGAAAAACAGCTTGAGTACTCATTTCTATAATCACCTACTTGGTTTAACTTTTCCTCATTTCAATGGTCTCTGCCTTTACCTAATTTACCCAGAGTGGTAAACATAAACATAGATTTATCATTCATTTCCACAGTTTTGACAGTGGAGTTTAGTTGATTATGGACCCAGAGCCTTCAAACCTTTCTTCCTTGATGGGTCATGCCATTAGTTTAGAAAAAAATGAAAATAAACAAGAAATGTATGTACATTTATGTATTTAGAGATCATACAAAACGTTACTGAATTGTTATTATTATTACATTGCCTTTCTGCAGCTCATTGGATATTTGTTCCCATCCCTGTCCTGCAGAAATAGCTGACCTTTAACATGTGGAAAGAGGACAACCTGATCCTTTATCAAAACATTGAGAATCTTGGGATTTCCTGCATGAAACCAGCAGCCTTTCACTGACTCGAAGTACCTCTTCTTTGCTTCATAGCAAGAAACAGAAATGAGAGAGCAGTGTGAAATCTACAATACACTGATTTCTAAGGAGAATATTTGACTTCCCTCACTTTCTCTGCAGAAAAACTGTCATTCTGTCCTTACATAGATGGCAGTGGGATGTGTCTTGGGTCAGTTGAGTGTCTATATTAAAAGCTCCCAGCCTTGAAAAGAACATCTTGTTTCAGGCCTGAAGATAGTGAAACATTAATTACACAATTCATAGTAGTGCTTCTTCAGCTATGTCTGAAGAAGTGACCTACGCGACACTCACACTTCAGAATTCCGTCGGAGAAGGAAATAACCGGGATAGAAATAACCTCAGGAAAAAAGGTAAGGATTCAGAGAAAGCAAGACACGACCTCAGGGGGTGGGCAGGTGTTCAGGGCTTTGAGGTGCTAGTTTTGATGCCTATGCTAAAGAGTGGTGCTGCTGAAGCTTCAAAATGGAGTTTGTGGAATGTATTAGTAGAATGAGTGTTTCCAATATTGAGAAAAAATGGTGAGATATCAGTATATTTCATGAAGCCCTGTGTTAAAGTGAAAATGTTGATTAGACAAGCCAGAGTTTGGGGACTAAGAGGTTTCTTTTTATAAATGTAGTCCTTGCTATTTATACCTTGTGAGACAGGCCAGAGGAATATTCTTTTCGAAGGCACATTGGAGGGTTCTAAAATAGAGAAGGTAGAGGAAAACTTACTTTTCACAGATATAAATAACTGAAAAGGAAAATTGGAGGATGTCAGAAATAGACAAGAGATAGTTTCTGTTTTATAGTATTTCAAAAAAATTAGGGAGTTGAAATTCCCAGTAAAATTAGCAGTGTTGAATCAATAACAATGGGATATTTTTAGTATTTTATAGACAGTGCATCATATCATTATTAAAATATAATTGTGAAGTAAATGAAATAATGTCAGTGCTTTTTCCAAAGTATTAAGAAAACTGAGGCTAAAAAAAGTAAATGATTTAACCAAGTTCATACAACTGTTATGTGGTGGAGTCCAGACTTAGTTCTCACCTTTCACTCTCTCTCTTGTATCCAGTGGGAAGAAATGGCAGTCTTTGTGGTCAGGAATCCAATTTAATATATCAGGTTACATCCCTCACCCTCAAACACATTAGTTGACAGTTCAGGTTGTTGTCCTGAATGATGTAAAATGTATAAACTATGTTCTTTTCTTCAGAGTTATTTTTAGTTTAAGTGTGTGTGTGTGGTTTGAGAGGGGGTGAAATACAAAAGGAGAATGAGAATAAACTGTAAGTGTGCCTAGTAAAGATGGCTACACATTATTTTTTAGAAAAATTTAACTCTAATCCTTGAGAAAGAAAGAGTAGTACATGTGCTATGTGTGATAGTGCACCTGGAGAGTACATTAATCATTCTGAAATACTGGGCTGGATGCCATCAGATCTTGAATTAAGGAATAGGAAGTAAATAAGAGAACCATTTGTGATATACACAGGGTGGGGGCAAAAGTAGGTTTACAGTTGTGAGTACACAAAACACAATTTATGCTTGTTTAATTATTTATTAAATATGGTATTATTTTCCATGTGAATAACTGTAAACCTATTTTTGCCCCACTCTGTATATGGAATGTTAAATTTCAAAAAGTTATCTACTGGCTTTCTGGCCTTTTCTGTGATTTGTAAGTTAGATTACGTATTCATTCATTATCTACTAGGTGACAAATAAAATGAGTAATAGGTAAAAAACAAAATCCACAATAACTCTTGTCTTGCAGAGGTTTTTAATTTAAAAAACTTGGGATCTCTTCTATTGTTAGAATCATCCAGAGAACCCCTTTCCACAATGTCTTATTCATGAATTCAGTAAAGTTGGAGAAGAAAGGTGTGTTATGATGTAAAACAAAAACCGAAAACTGAGAAGGCACTTCCTCTTAAAGGAAATAAGAGTAAAAAAAGAAAAAAGGAAGAAAGGGAGAAGCACTGGTGATGGGGACCTCACAGAAGACCACAGAATACTGTTTTAGTATTTCTCTAGATAGGGGCCTTAGAGAAGCTTAGGAAGCTTCCTATGTGGGGTAAATAAACAACCACATGTAAACCACAGGGAGTTCTGTTTGCTCATCCCTCTGTTGGCTTTCTTCATGGCATCCAGCTCTATCCCACACATGGCGTTGGACAGCCCTGAGTCTGCTATCCCTCTGTTTGTTGCTGCTGATTGGGCTGGTGACCTTGGGGATTATGTGTAAGTATACTTACATCAAACCCAACAAAGATAATTAGGAAACACATTTGGTAAACTGTGTAAATTTAGATTGGATTATATGATAAGTGCTACATCATGAAGACTCAGAAAGTATTAAAATAATATTTACTCTCTCTCTCATTCTCCCTGTCTCCAAGGTAAACCAACAAGGAAATTCTTATTATGAAGATGTTACCCTAAATCGATTGCTTTCTCTTGATAAACTAGACTGAACTATGAAGCCAACTTTTAGTTTTCCAGTTATTGGTTGGAATAAGGACCCTCCCTTCTGTACAGAAAAACTTATTATCCAGATGGTGAGAAACAGAAAGCCAAGGAGAGTGGATTCGAGGGAGAACATGCCATTTTATTTACCTAAGACTTTCTACAAGACTGGCTAATCTGCTCACCCAAGACCTTTCTAGAGTCGAGAAACTTCTAAGCAGCAGAAAAAGCCTGACTGTATAAATGAACAGAGATACAAACAAGGAGGAAGAGTTACCTGATATACCTTAGCTACTAGATAGAAAGTTGAGCCACCTCCAACAATGGAAGCTCCATTCTCAAGCACAATAGTGAAAAAAGACTGTTCTCTTTATTCTGACCCATCATCGGGCAGTCAGGGCTGAACAGGATAGGGCATCCTGAACTAACAAGTGCAAAAACATCCCGAGAATACTCACCTGGTAGGATATTGTTAAATTTGTGATGTACAGAGTAGTGAGTGAGCACAGTATTCAATTCCAGGAGATTTGCAGTCAAGAAAGTTTATTTGCTGAATGGTACCAACATTTCTTCTGCTACTCTCATTTCTTTTTATATGTGTAAAATTATATGTGGATAATTAGGATTTAGATATACCTATTTGGATATATAAATAGAAGCTAATGATGTAATTTTCTCTTTTGAAAAGAAATATAATGTTCTATCAGCAGTAACAAATATCCAGTAGCTAATCATTATGAAGATTAGCAGTTAGTCTTCTACGCTGATGTCTGTTTTAAAAAATGAAGATGCAATATGTATTCATTGGTTTTCCATAGAAGGACAAATGTTTTTTTCCACTAAAGTGCAGTGCTTTGAGTGCACTGGTTCTTAAATTTATTCTGCTAGTGAATCATCTAAAGTACCTATTTAAATTGAAGATTTTTATGGCTCTAGTATCAGAAATGATCAAGCATCACATTAAAATCTTTTTTAAAAAAACAAACAAACAGCCCTGGCTGGTTTAGCTCAGCAGTTAGAGCATCAGCCTGCGGACCAGAGAGTCCCAGGTTCAATTCCCGCTAAGGGCACATAACTTGGTTGCAGTTTGTCCCTAGCCCCGGTTGGGGTCATGTGGGTGGCAGCCACTTGATGTCTCTCTCTTTCCTTCTCTCCCCCTCCCACCCTATCTGAGGATAAATCCAAAAATGTCCTTGGGTGAGGATAAAAACAAACAAAAGACAAATACCCTAAGTGAGTCTGATGTAAGTGATCTACAGATCATACTTTGAGATTCCTGCTGCCCAGAGGTTACTGTTCCTATCACAACAATTACAAGAACCAACTCCAAACAGAAAAAAGACAAAATTTCCACCAAATGAATGTCAAAATGTCTGTCACTGACTTAAATGAAATGTCAGAGATATGTAATTATTAATTCATTATTTTAATACAAGCACAATAATAATTAAAATATAAACAAAGTTATAAGGATAAGCTTTAAGCAATTTTAAATAGGCATCAAGTGTGTTTCTTCTGTGATACCTCCATTATTAGGAACTATTGATAAATGTTAAACAATGTAAGAAATATTTCTGCATTCAGAGAATTATCTACGGCTATCATGATAATGAGAGGATGTTTGAACTTGTTTACTGTTATGTCTTGGAGTTTTGCAGACCTCTAATGAAATTAACTCAGATTCAGAAAAATTGAGTCAACTTCAGAAAACCATCCACCAACAGCAAGATAATTTATCCCAGCAACTGAGCAAGGACATGAACTTTCCTATGGAGGAAGAATTGCTCAAATTACAGATCTCCAATCTATTGAAGAAGCAGAGACAAATGGCCATCAAACTCTGTCAAGAGCTAATCATTCACACTTCAGGTAATCAGGACTGCTGACTCGTTAGATCAACTCTGTCGTCCCTGCTTGGGTTGATTATGTTCACCACCTCTGGGAATGTGAGTTATGCTATACAATGACCGCTATGATGTTGCACTAATTTTACAGAAGACAAAGAAAGATATAAATTTATTTATTTATTTTTATTTAATATTTTTGAAAACACAGAGGCAAATTTGGAGAAGCATCATGGAATCATATCAATCTGGATACTTCAGCCTCTCACTTTATGGACTATTTTTAAGGGGTCCTGCTGTTATAAGAAGTTTAAAATATAATTGATAATTCTAAGGCCAGAAGACTGAGCCCTGAAAAGATCATTTTAATCACCATGGTCCCAACCCATAATTGGAGTGACTTCATTTTCAAAGGCTCCTAAAGCAGTATGTTTTCAGGGTGCTGGCTCTCAAACCCTATTACCAAATTAAATAATTCAGTTTCCAAAACCTTCCTCAATCACTCAAAAGTTGTTTAGCTTGTACATTTGGGTACAATTTCTTTTTCAGACCACAAATGTAATCCTTGTCCGAAGATGTGGCAATGGCACCAAGACAGCTGCTATTATTTTGCAACACATGAAGAGAAAACCTGGATTAACAGTAGAAAAAACTGCATGGACAGGAACTCCACCTTGGTGAAGATAGACAGCTTAGAAGAAAAGGTCTGAATTTCCTTCCCTGATGAGAGAAATTATCCATGTAATGTGCAGTAAAAAAATGGAATTTCTGATCCACACAATAGGAATTCAGTGCATTTTGAAGGAGAATTAATCAATGAGTTTAATGTATGTTCCCATCTCTCTTACTTCTGCAAATGGACATGTGGTTCTCACACAACATTTTTTCCTTTTCTCTCTCTCAGGATTTTCTGAAGTCACAACCATTACTTGAGTTTTCTTTCTTCTGGTTGGGGTTATCATGGGATTTGTCCGGCAGAAGTTGGCTATGGGAAGATGGCTCTATTCCCTCTCCATCCTTGTAAGTCTCTATTTGGAAAAAATCCACATTAAGAACCCTAAGAAATGGAATACTGAGAAGACAAATGTTCTGGTTTGCATTTCCATAATAATTAGTGATGTTGAACATCTTGTCATTTGCATGTTGGCCCTCTGTATATCTTCCTTGAAGAAATGTATATGCAGATCCTCTGCCTATTTTTTAATTTTGGTGGTGAGAACACTATAGTATATACAGATATCAAATTATAATAATAACTATACATTATTCATTAATGGTACCTCAAAAAAGTTAATTGTAAGAAGTATAAATCTAGATACGAATAAAAGTACAACCTGTGAAGAAAAGAGAGCTTGTAACAAACACTGAAGGAGGACCACCTTCCTTCACGTGTATGACAAATATGTCAAGACATTGAACCTCACCTATTAGTTTAAATTTCTTTCTTTAACACAAATAATACTATGTTCAAAATACTTTATAAATATTAGCCCTATGATTAAAACACTGTTCTAGTCTCATTGTATAGATGAAAAGCATGTCACAGAGAGATTAAATAACTTGCTCATGGCCACAGCTCATCAGTGGCCAAATCAGGACTGACTTGTGGTCATGGGCTCAGCCTCTCAGCCACCCTGGCTCTCCAATGCTCACAATGCAGAAGGGTCATGTTTATTATAAGAACATACATTAACACACATTTAAACTGAACAATTGTCAGCTATTTTCTAACAAAACCTGAATCTAGAATGGTTGATTAGTTAAACAATTAATTTTTATGATGGAGACTTGCCAATTAAACTATATGGCAAATGTTTTTCATGAATTCACATGAAACGCGTCACAGTTTTGATAAAATATTTAAAGTATTTATAGAATATATAATATTCTAAAAGTTGCATTTTTGGCCATGATTTAAAGATATAAAAAAATAGATGTCAACTTAAAAGTATGTCAAGGGCACATGGTTTTGCAAAATTCTTTTAGCGACTGACAACAAAACCAAATATTTTAAGGAACACCCCTCATCCCAACTATGTTCAAATTATACAATTATATTTTTATTTTTAATATAACATTATATTTGTGTATTAGATGAAATTTAAAAGCATTAGCATCTTTTGGGTATAGTAGGTGTTTTCACTTCCCGACCCCCATCAAGTTACTAATCTATTCAACTCCTATTTCACTCTTTTTTTTGTTTTAATCCTCACCTGAGGATATTTTTTTATTTATCTTCAGATAGAGTGGGAGGGAGAAAGAAAGAGAGAGAGAAACATTGATGGGAGAGAGACACATTGACTGGTTGCCCTCCAACCAGGGCCAGGACAAACTGCAACCATACCTGCCCTTGACTGGAATCAAACCCGCAGCTCATTGGTCCACAAACCAACGCTCTAACCACTGAGCAAAATGGTCAGGGCCTATTTCACTCTTTAATAATGCCTGTTGTCAGAGATTCCTTAAACCAAATTATAATTGTTCATTTTCTGTCAAAGATACTGTGCTTTGATTGTGACTCAAAAACTTCTTTTGATAACAAACAATATGGTTATACTTTTCTCCCTGGATTCACTTGATCTTTGTTCATTTCCCAAGTTTTGTCCTGGACTTGTCTACTCAACTCCAATCCTCTCACTCCCTGATCACCACTACTTGTCATATTAAATTGACTAATCTGGTTTCACATCGATAATAATGGAAAAAGCACATGTAAAGTAATAAACACAACCAAAAAATGACAGTTGCTCTTCGCAAATGCAGCAATATTGGGCATGAAATGATTAAAAATTAATCCGAAGATAGACTGAGGGTTCACAGAAGTAGCACCCTGACACTGTGCAAGTTCAGCTGTTTCCATTTTGGAATTTAAGAAGATGTGTCCCTCCTCCCAAAAGAGTTTTAATCATCCCTAGCCCCTCCTTTCACTCCTAACTAAAGTATGGAGGACGCGGCCCCCAGAGCAAGTTTCAGAGCCCGTGAACACTGACTCCTGGAGACTGAGCTGCCCCATAAACCAGTGTGTCATTCTCAGGGTAGTGCGATGAAACTTCAGCATCACATCGCCATTTCTGCTGAGTCAAGGCCAGTCTGAGCAAGTACATATACTCAGAATAAGGTTTAGTGAGCTCAGCCCAGAAGCAATATATATATATATATATATGTGTGTGTGTATATATATGTATATATGTATATATGTGTGTGTGTGTGTGTGTGTGTATATATATATATATATATATATACATACATATATATATATATAATCTGCAATGCAGATTTGGGGAAAAAAAACAATTTGGGGCACACAGATTTAGACCTGAAGAGCATAATTTTTTTTTTTTTTTATCCTCACCCGAGGATATTTTTCCATTTTTTTGTACAGATAGAGTGGGAGGGAGAGAGAGAGAGAGAAACATCGACGTGAAGGGACACATCGAGTGGCTGCCACCCGCACGACCAACCAGGGCCGGGGACAAACTGCAACCGAAGTACATGCCCTTAGCGGGAACCGAACCCGGGTCTCTCCGGACCGCAGGCCGACATGAAGAGCATAATTTTCTAATTACATTATTTAAGTTATCACCGATTCCTCAGCAGAAGACCTAGGGACTTCTACTAGGACCACATTTATTTCTCTCCTAACTTTGTCTTGTTCTCTCTTCACACTCCACATATACATAAATATATACAAAATTATGCTCGAGTATAGTAAAATGTAACAACTTTTTACCTGAAAGGTGATTTTTTTCTTCATAAAGTTCTAAAAGAAAGAAAACAGTACTTCTACCAATATAATCTGAATTGGGTAGTTTCTATCATGTTAATGGAGAGAATACAAAGTCTCAACCCAGAATTGAAGTATCCCTCTTAAATAATTCTACCTGGAGATATAATTAACTTGAAATAAAGAACTCACATCTGCCAGCTTCAGGCACTTTGTTGGGTTGTGGAAGCAGAAGTCTCTCAGCATTCAGATATTTAGTAATGAAGAATACTTTAATTGTGGTCGAATTCCAAATATTTGATGTATAAATTAATTTTTAAATGTATAATTAATTCTGAATTAATTTTCAGATTTAGTACTATAGAATATGCCCAGATCAATGGATCCAAAGGATGTGCCTATTTTCACAAAGGACATACTTACATTTCCCGCTGCAGTGCTGAAATTTCTTGGATTTGTGAGAAGACAGCTGCATTAGTGAACATGGAAGATTTGGATTAACAGGCTTCTTCCAAATTTACCAAAAAGTAAGGGACTTGTGGTAAAGTTCATGTGAATAAGGGGACAGCTACCCTACCAGAACCAAAAACAGATTGAAAAGGAACTGTGTATTGAAACTATCAGACAAATAAACTTGTTTCACAGAACATTCTCCTTCTCATCGTCTGATGCCTTCTGATCTGATGTTCTGGTTATTTCTGGGGACCTAGGGAAAGAGCTGTTCTAGGGCCCCATTGTTCTGTCTCATAATCATTTCACTGACTTTCCTATCTCAAAGAAAAGACTATTTTCTTGCTTTGTTGTTACGTATGCACAAGTGCAACAGGATGATATGTAAATAATTAACAGTCAGAAATGACACAGACCACAGCCTTGGAACAATGTCCAGGAAACCTTGCTCTGAATGTTGCTGGATCATGTAGAAGTTGGGTAGATCCCCAGGTAGGGATCCTAGATGCTGAGGCAGCAGCACTATACCAAATGATTTGGAAACATCTTAGCAAATGGATGGTCTGTACCACTGTGTACCAGGTAAGCATCAGCCTGCACATACAAAATAACTCATCCTCCTCAATTTCCCTATGAAAATACATTTTTAATAATCTTTAAAATTTAGATAATTTGTAATCTAGGTGAAGTAGCACATCATTTAGCATTTGTATTCTCATATATTTAAATTAGTAATGTTGAGGTTATTCCTGTGGTCATCTGGGAATTATTATTCAAAGTTCATTCTCTTATAATTGAAATTTTATTTCATTCAGAAAAGTGGTAATTAATTGAAGAGATTAAGTATTAGAATCATTAAATTTTATTTTTCAGAATTTTCCCTTGACATAGTCTACCAGTGTCCTTGCACATTACATGATAAACAGCAAATTTAGAGGTCAAGAATTTTTCTGGGACAAAATTGCTGAGTTGAGGATGTAAATAAAAAATATGGTTCTTATGTTCTTATATAGTTGCATAGCTATGTAGAAGCTAAAAAGAATGGTTAACTAATCTGTGGCACTGATTTTGCTAGAACAAAGATCTAGAATTTACTGGAAAAACTGATATGATCTGAGTTCAAAGCTAGTTGCATTTCAGAATACTATGACAGTTCTTGGAAAGAACATTTTTATACATACCATCTAATAAATTGTTATTCTCTAAGGATTTAAAATTGTGAGGTAATCAAAATTTTATATCTGTACCAGCAGACAGTCTAGAACAAAGGAATTAAAATATAATGTGAAAATTTAGCAAGAATTCCAAACAAAGCATATTTAAGCACAACTTATTAAATATAGATAATTATTTCATCATTGCTCAAGTGAGCAGACTTTACCAATTTTCATACAAGACTGCAGAACAAGTTGCATATACTTATAGCTTTGTTCCATTTCGCTTTAGTTGCTCACTGTCATTTTCATTCTCAGAAAGATAAAATTATTTTTTAAAGGTCAAGAACTCTGCATCTCACTCCCACACATGTGGGTTTTTCTTGATTCCCATAGTAAAGATAATTTCTTTATTTATTTCTCTATTTCTAACCATAGAAATATCTGCTATTAATAATTAAAATATCTATATTGGTTATTTTTTTGTTCCTATAAGTAAGTTACAGGAGTTTTTTGTTTTATTTTTTTCTGGTATATTGTATCTTTTAATTCTTATCTCATGTACACTGACATTCACACTCAATAGAAAAGAACATTTGTGTTTCTGACCTTGGAGTGGCTCTGGAATTTGATCAGATCTTATTGCTCATAGATCTCTCCTGCTGCCTTGCCATCATCATGATATCGCTGGAACCCTTTCTAGAGAGGATGAGTAAATCCAGAGCTCTTGTTGGAGACACCTCCTATGTCACAATAATTTATCCCTTATCGCTTACTGATAACTTGGCTTATGAAACATGGTATATCCCAGGATTTTCTCTTTTTCTCTCTCTCTCTCTTTCTCCCTAGTCAAAATTCCTGGGAGATATTACACACACACACACACACACACACACACACACACACACGGATTTCCTGGGAAAAGGCTATATTTTGTATTTATTTGGGGTAACTTTTCTTCCCTCACTGAGTAGTTTTATGGTTTTCAAACCAGTCTTCAAATCATATTTACACAAATAATTTCTTCAAAGTTCAAGTCTAAGATCTACAGACTCAAAATGACTGGGCAGGGGGAGGGGAGAGAAGGACTAAAAAAACTGTGAATTTCACAAACTCCACAGGTGATTCTTATGAACTCAGCCAATGCAACATCTGGACAGGTGACCTCAACCTCCTGAGTGATTATGCGGAGGCAAAGGTGCTGGAACCGTCCTCACATTGGATGGCTCTTTCTTTTCTCTCCTATAAAAAAATATTTATTTTACTTTATTTTTCCAGGTTTACTGAGATAATTGACATATAATGTTGTGTAAATTTAAGCTGCAAAGCATAATACTTTGGTATGTGTATGTATGGTGAGATTATCTCCACAAGAAGTTTAGTTGACGCATCCATCACCTCACTGAAATGGTTCTTTTTGCAAAATTAGTTTGGTTTGTGAAGGTCAGGGCAGGTAAACATTGGGACAGAAGTAACTACAAGTCACAGCTATTTCACTGTTGTAACTTTGACTAATATCTCCTCAATGAAGGGATGGGATTGGATGGTTGGAACAGACTGGTGATATGCAATTTGCTTTGTCTGGCTTTGCAGAAGGAGTAGGTATCAGTATCTGCACACTGAAATTGTATGGAGGAGCTTTGAAGAAACACTGATGCCTGAGATTATCCCACCGCTTATGATTCTGATTTGATTGATCAGGGATGTGGCTAGGTTACTGAAAAAAATTTAAAGCTTCTTACATGATTCTAATATGTATCTAAGGTTGAGAAACACTTCACTGAGGTCATTCCAGTGACAATGTTGGTGCAGTGGTAACATGTTGACAAAATAGTCAACCCTCCATTATATATAAGGAAAGCAGGTGAACTAGTCCCATTAGTGAGGATCTTATGGGGCTGGGACAGTGAAGCTAAGGTGGAGAATATATTCAAGGCTCGATATTGACTGATTTATCTGTAATTATGTTTGAATATGTTTATCTGTGTTTGGTGAAAGATGTGATGGACATATGATTAACACTACTTTCCTCAGAGTAGGTGTGATGATAGCAAAACAAGACAGGAAGAGGAAATGATTAACTTTGTAAACTGAGAATTCATTTGAAGTCGAGGTCTGAGGACTGAAAGTGTGAGCCAGATTCTGAACACATGGTCAAAATTAACAAGGTGGTCCTGAATCAAATGTAATTGTTTATTCCTCAGCTATGCTTGTATGGCTGAATAAGTCTAACCTCAGGTAATAGCATGGGTTTTTCATTCCCCTTCAAGATATATAATATAAATATGATAAAGTACATCTCCCCTGAATTTTCTCAAGCTTTATCTTAGCTTCCAAGATATAGTTGTGCCCTAGCCTCTTACTGGGGAGTTATATCACTTGGTGCTTAAGACAATGTATTTTTGAAGTCAGACAGATGTGGGTTTCTGTTCTTAATCTCCATTTAAGAGCTGTTTAATCTTGCTCGGCCAGTGTGGCTCAGTGGATTGAGAGTTGTCCCATGGATTGAGAGGTCCTAGTTCGATTCCCGGTCAGGACACGTGCCCGGGTTGCGGGCTGGAGGTAGGTGATCAATGTTTCTCTCTCACATTGATGTTTCCATTTCCCCCTCTCCTTTCCTCTCTTTCTCTAAAACAATCAATAAAAACATTGAGAGAGAGAGCTGTATAATCTTAGGATTTTTAAACTCTCAACAGTATAAGGTAACAGAAATTGTACCTATTCCCTGTGAATTAAGTGGAGAAAAACATGCAGTAAAAAGCATGTGGTGCAGTGAGCAGCCAATGATGTTCAGCCGTTATTACTGTTACTCTCCCAGGTTCCACTGGAAGAGCAGGTTCCTAAGACCCTTCCAGCCCTGTGTACACTGCTGCATGGAGTCCTCGATTCTCACCACCAGAGCTCTGAAATTGATCTTGGTGTAACAGAAAGACAACCTTTTTCTTACAGACATAATGAAAGTTGATGCATGCAACCAAATATCAATTCATCAGAGTAAAAAGAACAGGAAGCAACAGGGCAAACTGTAGGTGGAAGATAGCCCTAAATAATGCCTTGAGACAGGTGCTATTTCCTGTAGAATATTTTGGTGCTTTCTGTGACCTCTGTGACATTGGGGTCAGAAATGAGGTAGGTAAGGGGAGGGTCCAGGCCCTTTCATTGGTTAGATTCTTAACACTGAAATTGTAGGGAAATGTCATTTTTATTGTTACAGTTACCAAATGAAAAGACCATCTTTTTCAGTTCTCCAACTTTCTTTGATGCTTGACCGATTTTGCTTCTGAGAAAAGTTACTCTCTGTAGGTGATCTTGGTGTTGGAAATTCCAACTCAGGTTTTGTTTCACAGATTTTCATGGAGTGGGTAGTTACATGACCTGGAGCAGGCCAATCAGCAGACTGCATCTCTCTGGCCATAGTAATTGGCTCAGGACTGGGCATGTGACCAGTCAACTCCCATGGGTTAGCCGGTAAAATTGGAATCATAGGAGAAGAGAAGTTCTATTTCCGTTGGAGAGCTGAGGGGAGATGATATCAGCTTGTGGCTGTTGGTGGCCATCCTGCTTTCATAAAAGGAAAGCTCGACTGAGAATGACACCAGCATAGAGGGAAGTGAGCAAAGCCAAGAGGTCAGGACAGGTGAGTCCTGTAGAGGTCACAGAGCACCCAGGTACAGCTTTGCCTGAAGCTATCTACCTTTAGACTTCCTGGTTACATGAACAGTTTCCTCCTGCTTTGATTATTTGTTTAAGCCACTTTGGGATTTTTGTCACTGTCTATCAAAAAAAATTCTGACTGTTTCTTCTAATTTGCTAAATAGAAGACCTTGGAACTACCACACTATGGATTTAGGATAGTTTCAAGGGAGAATGTCCAGATAACACTGCAAGGGCCTAATC